TGGTGGTAATCTTGATAAAACAGATTTTGCTTTTGTGTTTCATACGTAGATAAACATCTTTATAATTTCTGAAAATATTCAACACATGCATGACCTACGCTATATAAGTTTTTTGCAACATGAGGACTTAATCCTTGTAGAACTGTGATTAACCACTGGGGATTATGTAAGCTGCTGAAAAGGGTCAAATTCCTAACTCCATGTCCATTGTTTCATCTTCTCAATCCAGAAGACTTTGTGACTTAAAGCTACCAACACATTTAAACAAGCTAGATTATGTGGCTAAATAAAAAAACACAAAAAAAGCTATGTTGATGAAAGAAATCCATAAATCTGGATTGATTTATTACTTTAGTTCAAGCATATAACGTGCATGTATTTAAAATTTTAATAGTGAAGCCATTTTTTATGTTTGTTGAGGTCTGTAGATCAGAGCTGCTTGATTTGATTTGTCTAAAATTGAGAAATAATTTCAGTAGTTGTTGACAAATATTAAAAAGTAAGAAAAATAAACAATCAGAACATGGCAGCTGAAAACTTTGCAAGCACACGCCATTAAAGATCAATTATCAGAGCTAATTAAAGTCTACAGGTTGGGTTTTAGTTTAGGGAGTGATTATATGGTTATTTGGTGTAAATAGAAGTTATTCCTGTTTTTTGGTGTAAAATATCAGAGCAAGCTGCTTTATTTATGTTTTTTGGGTACTTGAAACTTTTTTTTAAATCTCTGTAATATATGAAATATGTGTATTAGCAGACTCTTGTAAAACCTATCTCTGACATTGTCATGGATTTAGCTTTATAGGTGGAGTATTTGCTTCCAGTTTTAACGTTAAAGGTGCATTTAAGTGTGAAAAACAACTTGGCTCAGACGTAAGATCAAGTAAACCGCAGTCCATCTAGGTTTGATTGAAGCAATCTTCTTGGCTTTAGAGGATTTACACGGAAATCTCTTCATGGAGAATTGCTAAACATAAGAGAAAAAACTTGTCAAGCCTTTTTGCTTTAAGTGGTAGTAAAGAAAAAAGGGGATGAGAGTAAAATCGACAAAGGTGAAGAGGTGAAAATAGGGAGAAGTGCCAGCCTAGGCGTGGGAGAGCAGACAGCATTGAGTTGAAGCAGACCAGATACTAATGTGGAGATCCACGGCTTGTAAAAACTCTGCTTCAGAGATAGCTTCCACACACACAGACACACACACACATACGTTTGACATCGACAGAAACCTCGACAGTAACATGTTCAAATCTACGATAAGCATCAAACCGTCAACCTTGACTGCCCATGAGCAGCAGACAAGGAAAGATAAGCTGTGAAATCCAGGAGACAGATGGATAATCTCCTCTGTGAAAGATGATTGGCTATCATTGTGTGCATAGCACCTGGTTCGGAACATAACATGCAAATGCATGCGGTTCTATAAAAACTACATCTGGCCCCTTATAGAAGTCATCTGTCTGTCATTCTGTTTTTTTTTTACCAATATAAATGTTTTTGATCACCACAAGTAACATTTATATATATATAAAAAAATATATATTTTCAAGTTTTATAGCAGAAAAAATCTGTATATCCAAAGCAGTCTTAGACTTAGACAACTTTTATTGTCAGTGAATTAACATTTCCTTTCCATAAAGTGCAGCAGTGATCAAATGTAAACAGTTTGGGAGAAAAAACATTTTGCAATCAGATCCAATCATTAAAATAAATCATGATTTTCTGTTCTTCACTAGACAAATCTAGACAAATCCCTGAATATTGTATGCTGAAAGATAAAGGAAGTGTCTTAATAGGACCCTCTTGGGTAGTCAAAGTAGGCTACAATAGCTATAAAAACATATATGTCATACCAGTGGACTGTTGTTGGTAGCAGACACACTGAGTTAACCTTCCTTCATGGCTCTGGATGTGACTTCAGGTCCCCTCTGGTCATAATCCCAACAACCTTCACTGTAAAAGTTTGCATCAGTAAAATATATTTAATGTCAATTTAAAAAAGGGAAGGCTATTGCTATTGCTGTTAATATCTGTCACACCAACTTTAATCTTCTCTAAATCTGTCCTTTTGCTGGTTTGGCTCCCCAAAAATTGTTTACAAACAATAAGTTTATCAAATTTTAAAGAATGAAAAGAAAATTGCTATTTAAGGGAAGCAAAACATTTGATCAACAGATACTGAAGCTTTGTGAAAAAGTTTCAGTTTATTCAGAATACATAAAATAAAGCAACAAACTTCAAGATCTAAACTCAGATAATTTATGCAATAATTTATGTTTTAAATATAAAAAAATGTATTTATAAAACCATTTTAGATTTACAAAACCAATTTTCCTTATGTTTACTCAGTTTTGTGCTAATTCTTATTATGGATAAAACCAAATCCTGGTCAAAGAAGGATCATTTCACTTGCTGCTAAAATTAAAAATAGATATTGTTGCTTTTATATAGATTAGAAAATTCCCAGTATTTTTAAACGTACATCTGTTTACAGCTGTAACATAATATCACACTGACAATTTTAGGTCTGAGAAATAAAGATGTTTTGATTTGTGTGGATTCAGTCATGTTTTTGTGTATTCTGACACATGTTTTTAATTATTGTCAAACTGGAACACCTGAGTCATATTCAGGTTAATAGCAGAATAGACATTTTTCAGCGTCTGGGTTCATTATTACATGCAGTCCATTATTCTAAAGGCATTAGAAGAGAAGTAGGCCCACAGAATCACAGATCCTCCACTATGCTTAACACTTAACATGTGGTACTTTTTCACATATTCAAACTTTGTTTTTTAAACCCACATGGTATTCAGGTTCCGGAATAGCTCAATTTGAATCTAATCTCACTTAGTGTCAAAGTTCCAGTAAAAATCATTGTGGAGTTTAGTACTGATACAGAAAAGCCTGACTTTCGCAAATAATAACATGTAGAAATATTTTCTTATAGTTTCTCCAAGATGCCACTTTAACACTGAGGTTTGAAGAGTCCTTTTTTTACTTTCGCCATTTGCCCTGAGCTGATAACCTTTGGTCGTCAGCCATTTTTGTTTTTCATAGTTTAAGTTTTGGTTTGAACGTTTTATTAATTGCTATGAAATTAGATTCGAGTATATTTTCTTGCTGTAGTTTACTCATAAAAGGCTAATTTCATGTTCTCTTGTTATACCTACTTTGCAGAGCTGCTGTGAGATATGGGTTGTTTCTGTCAAGCCATTTTTATTCTTCAGGGAAACTCCTGATAATATGAGCCAATTAAAAACTGTGATAGAAATCTAAAGTAAACTCTCATGTAAATGTACTTTAACCCCATAAAGCCTGCCCTGTACCATGAAATAGCTGTCAGAAATGTTACATTTTTAAAACTAGTTTTCATTGAACGTTCTGAAAAAGAAAAATAGTTTTTATATACCGTATATCTATTAAAATTTTTTTATATATTTCCAAATTTTAATTTGTATGTCTGGTATAAAACAAGATTTTCAAGAAAATAAGTATCACACTGATGATGATGATGATGATGATGATGATGATGATGATGATGATGATGATGATGATGTAGAGGTCCTCAAAAACTATGTATCAAATATAATGAGCTCTGCATTACAGTGTTAAATTAACTTTTCACAGTATATTTTGCACTAACACTATGAGCTAAATTCAACACCAACCCTTGTGCATTTGGTCCCACTCCTAACTTGTGTTAAATTAACACTAATTAACACAAATCTAGTGTATATCTTACTCCAGCTGTTGTTGTAACAACTCTAAAAGAGTCATTTTGACACTGCATATTTAACACTGTGGGATTTACTACGTACTTAAATAAAAATTCCTTTATGAAGATTTTTTTTTTATCTGTGTCCACATTTGGATTTATGGTTTTCAAATTTCTTTCTCTATGGGAGATTATGCCACTCCAGTAAAAAAAACAAAATAAATATATATATATATATATATATATATTTATTTTCAGACTCATTACACATATTTATAGGAAGTGACAGTAGGGGTAAAGGTCGCCTCCGTTTCACTCACAAACATAAATGCCTGACAAACTTATTTAGTAGGAGGAGGCTTTAACATTGCAGCCACATAATAGTAATATGGCCCAAGGATTTAATATTATATCTATTGCTGTAAAATGTAGTAATGAAATACATAGTTAGTCTGAAGGATCTATAATAATAACAGAACAATTTTCACTGTTGCAGAAATATATTTGGGTAGCTGTATGATTTTACCTATTAATGGGGTTTTTCAATCATAACAACGTGTTTTTCTTTATTTTATACCTTTCTGCAACATATAAAGACCTCAGACAGTTCTACTCTGGCTCCTTCTATGCTTTGTTATTTGGATGCGCAGCAAAATATGCAGTCGGACACACTTGGCTCTCCCTGCCAATGCAAACCTTGGACACAGACGTGGGTATAGTGCAGGCTCTGTACACAAGAATGCAAACTCGTCTCTCCTCCCATTCTCTCTTCTGTGCACCCATTGCCTCTTCTTCGTCTTGTTCACATCCTGGCTGCCCGGCATGCGTGCAGCTCATCTGGCTCTGTGTCAACAGAGCATGGGAAAGTTAATCAGCAGCTTGGCAACTCCCTGTCACCTCCCTAAACTTTCTCAGCTTTCCCTTCAAACATACTAAAGTACAGTGTTCTTTCTTGGAGAAAACAGATGAAGTTAAATTAAATTTTTTGTTTTGTTTTGTTTCTTTTTTTCCCCTTTGTTTTTGTTTTAATTTCTGCTGAGATAAGCATTAATTTTCTACCCAGCATCAAACTGGTACTCCTCTGTGGGAAGAAAAGCCACCTGCAGATTACAACATTTGTGATGATAGAGTGCCCTCTAGTGGCATGAAAGGAGCAGCAATATAAATTATTAAAATTCAGACATATTACTCATCTCCTTAGCATCCACATCACTCCATTTCTCTTTTTATAAGGACTTAATCTGAAGTTCCCTTATAATAAACTCTGCTTTCTTTTCTTTTGTAGGCTTGCCATGGATGTGGGGGTTCCAAGTGTGACTGCAGTGGAGTAAAAGGAGAGAAGGTAAAACAAGGCAAAAACATGATGCATATAGTCAATGTTCTGAAACTAACAGTTGAAAATTAATAAATATTAACACTCTTTGAAATTGTTTACATTGTCTTCCTGATTTGGGGATTTTTAATTAAAAACTCAAATGTTTTTGTTCCTTATTTTGAATAAGGAAAATTGAAAAACATGACATATCTATCTATCTATCTATCTATCTATCTATCTATCTATCTATCTATCTATCTATCTATCTATCTATCTATCTATCTATAGATATATATATATATATATATATATATATATATATATATATATATATATATATATATATATATATATATATATATATATATATATATATATATATATATATATATATATATATATATATATATATATATATATATATATATATATATATATATATACTCACACTGGATGGGGGAGAGGTGGATTTACAAACCCTAAGTCATGCCTCATTCCCTTTACATGTTGATTTATATCAGCAGGGTATTTCCAGTCCTTAATTTGTCTTCAACAGTAGTTTCCAAAATTTTCAGTTCACACAAGATAAATTCGACAGCTAAGTAACACCACTTTTGAAAAAAAAATTTATCTTTAGAGGCTTTGTAATGACAGATCTGTCACATAAAAATAAAAACCCTATTTTCCTTTGGCCAAATCTGAGAAAAATAAAAAAAATATATATAACAAAGCTTGAGTATTAAAATAGATGGACTGAATATGGGTGAATATACACAGAAAATCATTCAAAATTTTAGGTAGCATCAATATCAATATCTGTCTTTAAGTATTTGGTGCTTATCTTGAGTAATTTTCTGGCATAAGATGGGGAACACCCTGGAAAGGTCATAAGTCCAACACAGGGGAACACATGGAATGATAATTTACTTCAATCTGCACTACAGTCCCATTTTTGGACTTTAGGAGGAAGTCAGAGTACCCACAATGCACAGGGAGAATGTGCAAATGCCACGCCAAAGCTCCCTAAGTCAGGATTCAAACCTATGACCTTGCTGCATGTCAACAGTGCTTCAAACTGCACCACCGTGCAGCCCTCTGCCAATAACAGTTTGGGTTTTTTCTTCAATGTTGAAATATGAATCACTATAGGTCAGCTTTCTGAAGCGATAAGGAATTATTTGTATTTGGAGCAAAGGTAATGTTACTCTGTGTCTTTCTGATAGAAAGCTAAGGCTGTGATTTGCAGGTTTACTAGTTAAAAAAACCCAATCAAAATTATTCCGGAGTATATTTTAAGCTTTCTGTTAGTATCACTAACTCATGTATGTTCAATATAAGATCTGTGGGACTTTCTCTTATTTGTTGAAATAGTCTCTCCATTATTTTGTTCTTTCATTTTTGTGCTCTTAGCAGGGTGTAAAAGAACATTCAGTTGCAAATGGCTTCTTTACAGAATAACCAAAACTTTAGAATGTATACACAGGCACTGAGCAAAATTAACTGAATATTTCTGTTATGACAATAAAATACTCTTTAAAAACAGCAACAAGCTCTACATTGAAAAGAGAATTTTGGGTATGAGGGGTTCAATGATCAGAAGAAAATGTTGGATTTGTGAGTATTTCAGATATTTGGGTAAAAAAAATGGCCAAAGTGTAGATCAAAGATCAAAGATTTTAGAAAAGACCAAGGACTGCTAACACCATTTAAAAAGGTTACAACTAGGGCTGCAACTGCTCTTGTTTTTCTGATTAATCTACTAATAATCAGATAGCCAAAGGTTCCTTAAAGAAGATTTTTTTTTTTTACAAAATAAAACCAGATGAAAGTAAAACCTTTTCACTTCAGGAGTTCTGGATAGAGCACATTGACAAATGAAATAGCTTTTTTTATATTAAATGCAAAATGTTTATTTAATTTTTTTTTTATTTTGACTTTATTACTGCTATAAGTGGGCTGCTCTGTCAGCTAAAGGCATATTTCACAGTCTCTATACACCAAAACAATGATTAATCAATTAGTAAATAAGTTAACGATTATTTCAATAATCGATTAATCACGATTAATCCGATAATTTCTTTTTAGCCCTAGTTACAAGTAAGTCTGTCTCCTTGAAAGGAACAAATATAAAGCATAAAAATATAAAACCTTATTTTACATTATTTATACCATATTTATATACTATAATATTTAATATGTAATTTCATATTTGAATTATTTTATTCTTATCTATTATAATTTTAATGTATAATTTTATATGATATTTATATACTTTATTTTATTATTTTACTTTATTTTTTTTATAAATAAAGATTCTATACAGTCTGATGACTTTGGTCTTGAAACGCTTTGATTTATTTTGTCTCTGTTTACTGGCAATAAAATAAACCCTCATAGGAACCTGACTAAAACCTTCTGGGAAACAATCTCTGGACAGATGGTAAATAAAATCACCCAGCCTACCAGCGGCCATCTTTAAAAGTAAAAACTTCTAAAAATTTGATCAACTTTAGAAAACCAATTGATCTCTTCAGAAAAGTTTGGATCTTTAAAACTTTTACAGCATATAAAGTAATCAGCTATCACTCCATGACAAGTAGAGCCTAGTTCTATCAGACTGAGATACTCAGAATAAATCAGCAGGAAAAGCTTGATTTTTTATAAGGGAAAATAAATAATAATGTTTTCAAGATATATGTTTATAAAAGTTTTGAATTGATTGTGTCTGTGGTGGCTTTCAGGGGGAGAGAGGTTTCCCAGGTCTTACTGGACAGCCGGGGGTCCCAGGGTTTCCTGGACCTGAGGGTCCAATTGGACCTAGAGGAGAGAAGGTAAGTTTGGTTACAAGGTTTACATAATCAACACATCCTTGGTAAAGATTTTGAAAAAAAATGTGTTTTTCTTAATCAGATTTCTTAATCTTATCCCCTATTTCACTGTTATTTAGCTTTAAACCTAAGGCTTGGTCATGAACTCTTATATTGTATTTGCAACCCAAGGAGATTCATACAAATGTTTCCATTATTAATAAGTCTCTTTGTTTCTTTTGATTTTCTGCTTTTTAGGGAAGTGATGGACCTCAGGGACTATCTGGTCCAAAAGGAATAAGAGTATGTATGATATTTCATCTTAATATATAGTGTAAACATTTTGTTTGAAGTGTCTCCATCTTTATTACACAAAGGAAAAAATCAAGTTCCTATTGTTTCAGTGGTTTGTTTTTATTGAAGTTAAAAATGTCGCAATGTATTTGGAATAACATATAATTTCAATTCAATTCAGTTTATTTCTATAGAACCCATTCACAACAAATTTCATCAAGGGCAAACTATTTAATCAGATCACACAGACAGATTAGTTTAAGTTTTCTATCTAAAGAAAACCAGCTGATTGCATTAAGTCATTGACTTTGTAGTATTCGCTCTTCCTGGATGAGTATGTGGTGATATTCATTTTTATCTTCTGTCTCACCTCAATCTGTAGGAGAAATTTCTTAAATGTGCAGTCACTCATTAGGTGATCTTTGTTTTATAGTAATACCCCATTACAGGCACTAGATGTCCCAATTTTGCCTTATTTCAAACTAGGTTTTTTTGTTTTGTTTGTTTTTTTCAATACAGTCTTTAAAATGATTTTATTTTTGATCTCTTACAGGGACCACCTGGTTTACCTGGATTTCCAGGAACGCCAGGACTTCCAGTAGGTTTAAAATGATCTGAATTCACACATTTAGGTATATGTAGCCCAATGATCTGACTCAGCTGTTTATTTCTATATATGTATATTTTATTTTAGGGTTTGCCAGGACAGGACGGTCCACCGGGCCAAAGAGGGGTGCCAGGTTGTAATGGGACAAAGGTACCCAATCCTATGCAATTCAAAGTGTAACAAAATACTGTTTTAGTATTGTGAAATGCTTTCCTCATTGCTTTTTATAATTATCTTCAAGGAAGCCTAATTCTTTTCCTTTTTCCAGGGTGAACCTGGTTTTCCAGGATCTTCGGGAATACCTGGAGTACAAGGAATTCCAGTGAGTTCTTTGTTAAAATGACTAACACTTGATTAGTAGACATTAATAAACTGAACTCATAAAACTATACCCTACACAGCAAGCCTGATGGAAAGCAGTGATTATGAGATAACTTAGAAATATAGATGCAGGTTGTCAGGCTGTTAACATGTGAAAGTTAAAAAGGAATAAGACTATCAGGTATGTGTGGAGTTTGATAGATAACCTAACTACAGAGCTGAAGAGGCAGTGGTGATTTCTTGCAGATTTAACAAAGAAGTAGATAGTACAGAAGCAATAGTTCAGAAACGACCGACAAGGAACTCAGGAATAAAAAAACTAGGAGACCCTCCGGAACACAAACATAGGGAATGAAGAGAATCCAGCAAACAGTAACTGCAAAAGAAGATCTTATGTTTTAAACAGAACAATTAATGTAATAATCAACAGCTTGGGAGTAGGTGTGAACAGAGGGATCTAGAGGGCAGCTATGGGAAAGGAAATTGGCACAAGAGGGAAGCAGAGAGTAACTCAGAAATACAACAGTGCTCAAATATAACTAGAAAATAATTGAGAAGACACTTAATGGATATGAAACTGTCTTAGAAAACACAGAAAGGTATAAAATCAAGGTGTAACTGAAAACACAAAGTAAGACTTGGAACAGAACCAAAACTCCTAATCAGGAGATCATGAGAAAAGGATGCTATACTGGGTATTCAAAACCTTTTGTTTTATTTACCTAATATTTGTTCACGTGACATGTTTTACCAAATTGATCTACTTGTTACCTTTGTTTTAGAATGTAATAGATGTATAAATTAAAGCTCTAACTTGGGTTGTATTTGTATCTGCACCAATACAATACTCTACATTTGCATTGAACAGAAAAGCATCCTTGTACAGATCATAGTTTCAGAGTAAATAAGTAGGGTATTAAAGTTCATCATTATGGAAACATGCTCTCACATGACACATTCAGGTTCATTAAATTAATCGGTTATTTTCAAATGCATATCATTGATTCAATCAGAATCTTACTTGTCTCTTTTTCTGTTTTTCTGCAAAGGGTCCACCTGGTCTCCCAGGACAAAAGGTAGGTGTGATAAAACCATGTTGTTGGATTTGCTTCTCAGAATCAAGTCTGTTTTTTGACAGCATTGTGTTGTTTATGAGACATTGTTTTACTGTGCAAATTTTATTTTACACAGTCTGAATTCTCCAGCATTGTTTTATATTCCATTCTGCCATATTTTTTATGTTAATTGTTTTTTTTCTGTTTTTTTCAGTAGATGGAATCTGTCCCTTAGGTTCAGTGAAAGGAACTCTTATCTTGAATTTGTATGATTCAACATATCAACATTTTAGAGAATATTACTCCTCCCCCTGTGTGGGAAAACTTTAGCAGTTGGCCATTTTCCTTTTTCAACATCACTGGATTGACCATATCTTTATAGGCCTTACTTTGAGCCATGGTATAAAGGTTCTTCACTACCTATAACCAGTCTTGGGAATGTTACTTTAGAAAAGTAACTAGCTATAGTTACTAATTACTTCTCCAAAAAAGTAGCTGAGTAAGTAACTAAGTTACTGCTCAATGAAATAACTTTTTACTAGCTAAAGCAACTATTCTGTTACTTTTCATGTTTTATAATGGAAATTTAAAATTCAAATAGAGGTTAAATTATGGAATATAAGGTGTTTGTTATTAAATCATAAATTGATAAACATCTGAAAACATTAAAACTATTTTTTTGGTGTGTATGGTTTTACAACGAACTTTATATTTTTGCACATTGATTTCAATTGGCTATAATAATGGTATAAACCAGAAAAATAATGCTTTTCATGCAATTTAATAAAACAAAAAACCACTTTGCAATAGAATTAAATAGGGGTTATACTATACCAAAAAAGAGCCCTAGCAGGAAGGTATGAGGATAGGATTTTTGCATGAAAAACTTAAATCATGCAAGTGTCACAATTATGAGCATAGGATCCAGTATTCAAGTAAACAGATCAAAACAGGAACAGGCAGGCTTCAGAGGTCCAGGAGTCCAAAGACAATTCAGGCATAAGGTTTAGATGAGAACAGCAGGTTCTGTGATTGAGAGGCAGAACAGTTCAGGATTGGGTAATCAGAAACACCAAGGTACTCTAAAAAACACTGGATAGAGAGAACAAGAATAATCTGGTTCTGTTAACTGGATGCAAGCAGCTTAAATAGAGGCAGCAGCAGGTGGATCAGATGAGCAGTTATGATAAACCAGGCAGAGTTAGACAGGTGAATAGAATGAGTAGTTAAGGTCTATCTTTTGTGCTCAGGCGTGCTAAACTGTAAACCTTAATCATACACCTTAAATAAAGAATAATACATCTGTTTAAAGCACAGTAATGACTAACAGTTCACTGACTTTTAAAAACTAATTAGTTACAGTGCCTGTCATGGTTACTGTAACAAGTTACCAACTAACAAGTTAGTTCCACCCAACCTATAACTGACCTGCATTCTGGGCACCATTTAATAGAGTTGGGACTATGAGCCAGGCCAACATCTGATCTCATAAATGAACAAATTATAGGAAAGAAAATCCCCCAGACGTTCTTATAAATCTCATGAAAAGCATCCTTAGAAGAGTTTGAGCTCTTATAGCTGCAAAGGGTAGCTCAACTTCACATTAAACCACTCAACCTCATATGTCTGCATAAAAACAAGTGACCCAGTAGTTTTAAATATATTTTGTCCATGCAGTTTTAAACTCCTTTACTGATTAATATTGGTCTGTCTTTTAATTGTATTCCTCTTCTCTCTTAGGGAGACCCCGGTGATGTAATTTCCACAAATCTTTTTGGAGAAAAAGGAGCAGTGGGACTACCTGGATTGCCGGGAGCTCCGGTAAAACACCATTCTTGACTTCAATGTTGTGTTTTACCAATAAGCTAAGAAACCACTGAGCTCAACCCAAATAATAGTAGTAAATTAGATCATTTAGATACATTTAAATCTAACACAGATGGCTTTTCTGCACAGCTTATGTTTATAGTTATAGTTTATGTGTTTGGTGCATTGGCTGGCTGGTGCAGTCAACCTTTATTGGTTCCACACAGGCAAGGGTTGGCATGCTGAAGTGTTGGCTAAACCCCATCTGAAAAGATCTGCTGGACTTATAAGAACATTAAAAATGACTTAATAAAAAACCTTATGTGCTTGAGGTCGGTTATGCTCCCACCTTCCCCAGCCATCATGTTGATGTATGCCAACTATCTGGGACCTTAAGTCTTCATCTAATTCAACACACATCCCTTCTATGACCAATTGATGCTTATCTTTTCCCTTGACTTTGTGGAGCTTTAATTTCAGAAAGCTTCCTAGTCCAAATGTCCTACCTTCAATAAGGAGGGATATTGTCAGTATGTAATTTCTTAGTAAAAAACAATATATATGTTTGTCTCTTTTCACAGGGTCCACCTGGATTACAAGGTTTTCAAGGCCCAATTGGCCCTCCGGGACCCGCAGGCTATCCTGTAAAAGATGGTTACAACTATGCCAAATGTTATATTAAAAACTCTTGACTTTATTAACTAAACCTGAAATGTCTCCCATGGTCTTCTAGGGTTCCCCTGGTCCACCAGGTCCGCCTGGACCTAAGGTGATCTAAAGTTTTTTTTTGGAAATTTATAAAAGAAGGAAAATATTATCAATGCACCTTGCTTTAGTCTGTTGTAAATATTGTTATTGATACTCGTTTTCAAGTCTAAGTTGGCTTACAATTTCTCCTACAGGGAAACATGGCTTTGAACTTCGAAGGACCCAAAGGAGAAAAGGTAGAAGGCGCATCCAAAAACACTTTGACTTGTTCTCTGGTCGCAGTTACTAATAGGGCTCTGCTCTTCGCAGGGTGATCCAGGCATCCCAGGGCCTCCCGGTCCTCCAGGTCCAGGACAGGGGGAACAGATCCGACCACCACCAACAGAGATTCAGAGAGGGGACAAGGTATCCTAATTTTGCTAAACATGACGTTATAAGATTTTATAAAAGAAGAACTAACAAAAAATCAATATAGAAACATAAAGAACTGTAATACTGGTTATGTTTGTGCTTTATTCTCAAGGTTTAAATATTTGTAGGCAACCATAGAGCGTATCAAGCTCTTTATCCAGATAGTCTTCAAGTTTGAAAGTCAACACATGGTGGCATAAGATACCACAAACACATTTGTAATAATTGAGAACATTGTTAGACATATTCCAAAATAACTAGAAATAGCCAGAATGATGTCATTGTGTGAATAGAAACATTAAATGTTCTTCTTCCTAATAGTGATTTACTTTCCAAACTGTTTTTTTCTTATCTCCAAAGGGTGACCCTGGCCCTCCGGGCCCGCCAGGTGACCCTGGCATTCCAGGTGCTCCTGTAAGTATCTGTTGTTATTTCATCTCCAATTACATTGATATAAAGGAACCCCATAATGGTCAGACAAGAAACGTGTTTTCAACCAACTTATTCTGTTTGTTGACTTTTGTCACCTAAGGGTCCCTCTGGTGGACGAAAAGGAGAGAAGGGAGAACCAGGAGAGGCAGGCAAACGGGTGAGTATCAGCAGTTAGAGGCTCATAAAATTGATTGTTACCGTAATACACTTAATAATCATACCACCTAAGAGACACTAACAAGCCACCATGTTAGGTATACCTTGATAGAGAGTCGGTGAGCGCATAGATAAGAATTCAGCAATATGATGCATATCATGATACATGTGTTACCATGCGATTAACTAATATATCACTATACGTGAACAAACATATTTCAATTTTAATATTATACCTCTGAAAAAACTCACAACATCTTCCCTTTCTCTGTTTCGGTTGATGCAGAGCAGCTGAATAAATGGCTTTTGAATGCTGCCAACTGGGTTTGAGAGCTATATGAAAGCAAGACGAGGAAATAGATGAAAAAGACATTTAAGATCAATTTGGTTGTATTTTAGATCCAATCCAATTTCGTCTAATGAAATATCACATTGCTTGAAATAATACATTTTCCCTTACATCCCTATCAGAGAGGGTATTCTGCAATTGTTAAAATTCTCTCTCACTGAACAGTTCTGCTAATTGTCCTCTGTTCATCATCAACAATGTATTATTATCCAAATACCTGTCGCTTACGGGATATTGACTCTCTGTGCGTCTGTAGAGCCATAAGAGACTGTGTATGTAAATCCCAGGAGATTTTAGAATACTCACACCAATACCAATGCCAGAGCATCATGCAATTCCCGCTCCCTGCTCAGGAGGATGTTCGCTCATTTACTCTGCCGCTCAAAATTGCGCCAGGACGCTCTGCTCAAATTCCGCTCCGTGCTCACCGTAATTTTTTGCTCCGGTGACATCGCTCCACTCTTGCTCAAATTTTCCGGAAAGGCATTTTCTGACATTTTTCCTTCATGTAGTTATGCCAGGGCCCTGGGACACACGGCGTTTGTTTTAATGTTATAACCGATACATGTGTATTGTATAACTGGATGTTAACGTAACACCCCGCTGCGTTCATGTTGCCCCGCGTTTCCTATTTAATCATTAGTTGTCGAAAAAAATCATTTTTAAATTAAATAAATGTTATTATACACATTTTATAATCCAAAATTTTTTATTAAGGTTGTGAGCACATCGGAGCGAACTGGAGGGAAGCAAATTCCTCGCTCTGGCCTTTGAATTGAAATCCGCTCTGTGCTCCACTGTATTTCTTCTGTTCCGCTCCACCTCTTGATCAATGCTCCGCCACATGCTTCGACCAAAACCATCATTTATGCCATTTAAGTCAGTTTGTCTGGGTTGCTAAAGCTTTTTTTTTTTTTGCCAAATCTAGTTGTCTAAATGGGTTGTTGCAATGTGATGTTTAATGCAACTGAACATTTATACGTAACATTAACTTCGCCAGTCTGGTAAACCAATGTTGTCCAGCTAGATCTCGCCGGATTTAATGGCAGTCAGTGCAGGAGACGGGACTTCTTAGTCATCACTCAGTGCATTTCTGCTTGCAAAACAGCAGTATGGCGACTGCAACAGAGAATTGGTTTAATTATATCCTAAGTGAGATTATTCTAACTTTGAAATCCCAAGATCAGACAGTTTTTTTCATTTTGTTTTTAAAAAGATGAATTTGGTTTTCTCAGCTTGACAGGAGTATAAACCTGATGATGCTGACGCTGTTAGTCTCACTTTTGAAATCCAGTCTTACCAGCTCTTTACCAGACTGATACACTTTGTATAGGTCGTATCAGTCAGGCTGACCAAGTTAACTTTATATAGCAGCCTGTGAATGTCGCTGGTGAGCGCCTGGTAGACCTTTTCACTTAACTTTCTTGATCGGTTTGCCACCCTTGTTATTCATTTTCTTTATCCAAGCGAGGGAACTTTTCAAAGGGGGTTCTAGCTCTGGTCATCGCATTACTATTGATTACACACATACTATTTAATTAGAAAAAAAGATTTTCCAGAAAGTGTTCAGGTATCTTTGTTGCAATGTAGGGATTTCTCTCCTGTTCTTATTAAATAGATCTAATGTTTTTTGTTGTTTTTTTTCACAGGGAAAACCCGGCAAAGATGGAGACCCTGGTCCTCCAGGATTCCCTGTAAGTTACTGCATACGTTTTAGAGAAACCTACAAGAGTGCATATTCTTTAAAACTGTGTCATTTTAATCTGGGGCTTTCAATCAATTTGATCAGGGGATCAAAGGTGAACCTGGAATTCCAGGTATTCCAGGCCGGGATGGAGAGAGAGTAAGTTTCTGCCTATGATTTTGTACATTGTTCATTACCAAGTTTAATTAACAATTCAATAGGTCATGTTTGCAGCTACCTAAATGAAATTCCCTACTTGTTTACAGGGGCCAAGAGGTGATAGAGGATTTCCGGGACCTCCAGGACAGGTTTGTATCTGGTGTTTATACTGCATTGCCAAATGCATGACCAACTTGTTTCCTGTTAGTTTGTATTTTGTATATTTATCAGAGTTGATACAGGAAATTAGTCAGTGGAAGTATGAAACAATGATCCCTGCTTAATGCTACGTTTTACATCTACTTATCATGAGCATGAATGCCCCATTAATATTGTTGTAACCTTTCAATGGTTTATTAGGACAACTGTTCTGCTTTGATGTGTGTTTGCAACTCCCAAATTTGACCAAGCTTAACCTTTTTAACAAATGATTTGAGGTAAAGTTGAAGAAATTAGACTGCTATGACTTGATTATTTTATCAATTTGTGTAATGCATATTTACCAAAATCGACAAAACAAACACGTAGCATAATGGTACTACTACCATGCTTGAAAGTTTGAAGAGTGCTTTGTTAGGTCTTAAAGCTTCACCTTGTCTTTTTAGCTGTTGCACTTGTTGCCTAAAAGCGGGTCATTAGTTTACAGTGAAAAAGATATATTTTGAAGGATTTGGTTTGGCCATTGTCGCTATTGCTCATAAAAGTGCTGAACGGTCTGGAGGCAAAATGTATTTCTGGGCCACATTTTTTATATAATGCGAACCAAACAGACCCCACAGGTCTGTATTTCTATAAACAGAGCAAAACAAAGGGAAGAAGCATTTAGTTGTATACTGCACCATTCGTTCAAAGAGTTACCATAATGCTGGTTTGCCCTTTTATTGAGGATTGATGAATGCGTGAGATGCCCATCACTGCTCTCTCGGAGCATTATAATCTCAAGCCAGTGATTTTACCTTTTCTTAGCTATTAACCTGTTTCAAAATTGTATTTAAAGGGTATATTTAATATATTTTTTAACTGTTAGATGTGTTTTCCTATCATTTTAGCTGGAGTTAATGCCTTTCCTCTGATTTCCCAGAAAGCACTTTAGTTTACCTTTTGTATGACTGCCTTTTGGCTTTGAAATTCACTAGTTACTGCTGAGGTTGTTTGATAGAAAGGGGAAAATAAGGGGAATGACAGTAAACTCAATTAACAGTGAACCAAACAGCAGCTACAATAGGTTGTAAAACCTACAAAACCAAAAGGAAAATGAAAATTAGAAGAAGAATCCTGAAAGGCTTTGGTCTTGACCTAAGATTAGCGTTAGAAGAAAAAAGAACAAATTAAACTTTGAAATACCTAAAAAAAAAAATGCACACACTCAGAGAACTACTTAATACTGACATTATATTCGTACATTTAGGACTGGAAAATATCGGCAAAGTTTATATCATTTTATTTTTCCTAATTTCGATTGACACAATATAATTCAGATATCTTTACAAACTGTGTAAAAGCCTCTGAAAAAATAACAAGAAAGCCAACAACTGAATCCTGTACAAACTTAAATGTTATTATTCCAAGTCCATGAAACTTCTACAATATAAACTTTTTCAAACAATCGTTGAAAAAAATGCACCTTTAACTAGGTGATTATCTCTCCCTCCAATTATACTTTCTTTGTCATCAACTTCTGCATTGTTTGTGATTAACTGTATTATATTTAAGAACACAAAAAATTCTAAAAAAAAATAAAATATTCAAGAAGACAAACATACCTAAGCCCGAAAGACGATGTTTACAAATCACTACAATGAATTAGCAAAGCAACTAATAACTCAAAGCTCTGAAAATAAAGACTAAAGGTCCTGCTGGTGAAGATTCTTATTCATCCAGGTCATATTCATTCCAACAAAGTTAAAACAAATCAAAGCACAAACCTCATCGCAATGCAGGGGCTCCAAACAATTTGCCTGGTCAGCCAGGACAACAATGCCCCTAACAACCTCCCTTTTAGAGGCATAGGCCAGTATTGTGTCTTGCAGGCAAACAACAACCTCAATGACTCTCCATTACTAAGGGGTGGACCAGTTTTTTCAGTACAATTTGCATGTTTTCCAAGCCATAACAAGGCTTTTGTTTCGGCCACTCTATAAGCATGGAACTCAACGCTACTCCAGACATTTTTTGAATTGAGAAAGCTTCCTGGATGGGAAGCGAAATATCTTCAAACTTGGAAAACAAAGTCTGGTGTTTTGATTTTTATGTTTTTTTCTTTGTTGGAAGACGAAAGGTTCACAATAAAAAAAAAAATAATGTAACTCATCATAGCCCCTTATTGCCACTACAGGAACCTCAGTATTTTATCAGTTAGAAGACACCTGAATTATTTTCCACTATCCATCTTTCGCAAAACCCAAAAACATTGCAGCCTTATTTATTTATTTATATATTTTTTTATCTCCTGTCTGGCAATGTGGCAATAAGAATAATTGTCTTGATGCCAAGAAAGGGCCCAACAGATTTTACTTTCACAAGTGGAGCAGTACGGCTATCTCCATAGTGTTCCGCTTGATTTAATAGCTTTATTATGGTTATGAAGGGAGTAATACAGATTATATGCAATGTAAGTAGAACAGGAAAGGAAAAACAGGAAAAAGATGAAAAGATGAAAGAAATAGGAGATAAAAGGGAGACGACTATAACGTCTTCAGTCTGCTTCATCACCTGCAAAGAGATGTAAAAAGAACAGCACAACCTACGGATATAGTATAAGAGATACAATAAAGTAACACCTTGATACTATCGCTGAATTATAAGTAGTATTTTTTAATTTGACTGTGTACTGTGATAGCTGAAGATAAGAATATGGGCTTTCTGTATGGAAGTTAATCTCCAAGTACCTGGAGCCAAGCACCTGTAGTTGTTTATGAGAGGGCAGTTGTGCATGTAAAGTTTATCTAAAGGAAAAATGCTCAATAGTGGTTGTGAAGAGCCAAAGACCCGCCCCACCGGGCAACCAAGGCCCAAAGGGACCCCCAGAGCAAAGGTGCCCAGGAGGGGCCAACCCAGGAAATCGAACCCCCACCAAGGGAAGAGGAGAGTCTTCAGGAAATTCCCCAGCCGCGCAATGCCGGAGCTCCCATACTGCAAAAAATCTAAATCTAGATAAGTAAATTTTTTCTTAAAGTAGCTGCGGGGATGAGTCTGCGGGATACGCTGGCAGCCAGCTACCCCTAAGTGGAACCGGCAATGGGCCCTGGGGAGACAAGGCCCCTTATTTTTATGTTTTACCTGGGTAGAATGAGGATTAATAACAGTGTTTGTGTTTGAACCAAACCTTCATCTCAACAAGAATTCAGCTCACTCAAAACATTATACAATTCAGACATCCCATAATATCATAGGACAGCTTTCTTTTGGAAATATCAAGCTGGTGCTCTCCTTTTCTTTAAACTGTGCTATCAACTCTTCTCCCATGAATGTAACTTAAATTGTGCGACCAGCTGTTGTCCCCTGTCAGAAACAGGAGATGGCTTTTGTCAGTTACAGGACATTCAAAATGGGGACATTTGGTCATATTATCATGGGTGTTCATTTTGTAGCTAAAATGTAGCATGTTGTAGCAGCTGAGCAGCACAGCCTATGTCTGCAGAGCACAGGCTTCCTGTCTGCGCTAAACACCATTGCTCACGAAGCCAATGTGCTACGGCTCTTTCTGTTCAGCTTGAATCACCTGAGCTCGGAACATCAATGAGTGACGCTGTAACTACAGACTGAAGCATATATCGAAATACCCGATTGATGCAATATTATATCGATATTGAATGATTGCACAAAAGTAAAGGGACAATAATTGGAGGCTGACAATTTATTGGAGACTACAACAGATTTGTTGTTTGTCTTTTCTCACTAGGTTTTCAATGGAAATGGTGGAGGCGTTGGTCAAAAAGGAGAACCTGGGTTTCCTGGAAGTCCTGGACCTAAAGGCGAAAGAGGACTACAGGGTAAGCCTAAATCATACAAATACAAACAAAACTTGTAAAGTAAATATATTAGTTTATAATTGAAAATTTTCCTGTTTTTACACACACACACACACAATAAAACCTTTAGGTAGCTGAAATTTCACTTTATGTCAAGGTGCCACCATATGTTTGAAAGAGAAGAGCCATATTTGTCTAATTTCCTTGCTGCCAAAAAGAGGATTCTAGGCACTTCATACAATCATACTAGAAAATATGGCAAAGAGGCTGATCAATAGTGAAAATAGTCTTCTAAAGCTTTTGTCTATGTTGTTTATAATCATATGATGGTAAAATTTGAAAATTCTTCTCTAAAAGTTTACATTTTTCAACAGATGTTTGAAGAAACTGGAAAACAAAAATTGCATTAATGCATGTCAAAATAAAAATAGGGAAACTTAAAGCCCTCTCTTGAGTTTTGATGATTAGCGTGGTCCTTTTGTCATCTTCAGGTTTACCAGGACCTGCCGGAGCACCTGGAATTCCAGGCCTAGGCGGAAGCGGTCCTCCTGGATCTCCAGGATTCCCAGGAGGCAAGGGTCAGAAGGGAGACCCAGGCACTCCTTCTGTCGCCTTGCCAGGTCCCCCAGGACGTCCAGGAAATCCCGGCGCCGATGGTCCACCAGGGCCCCCCGGACCTCCTGGATCACCCAGACCAATTGAAAATTGCCTTCCTGGGCAGCCTGGACTTCCTGGAGTGCCTGGTGAAACAGGGTTCCCCGGAGGGCCGGGCCAGAAAGGTAAGGAAGTAAAAATTGCTTGTCAATAAAGTATCTCTGAGAATGGAACCAAAACTTGACTTGAACTCTACAGCATTATGTAAGTGTAATGTAAGTGATACATATATATAAATAAGTAATATTCAGTGTATCACAATCATTTTTGAGACTTTAAAAATGCCACATTTAAGGACTTTTTCTACAACTTATGGTCAAAGAATAAGAAGTGAATAATATAATCATGAAGCGGTCCTTAAGTAATGCACAGAATATGCTGAGGATAATGACTATATTTCAGGTGAAAAGGGAGAGACCTGTGTCAACTGCTTTGGAGGAGGCATTGGTGTTCCTGGCCCCCAAGGGCCTCCAGGACCGCCTGGACCATTAGGTAACATTTGTGTGTTTTAGTGAACATTTCCATATGTTTATTCGTATCATCAGTCGTCCCTATCAGCATTCCAGCTGTTTAAAATGCTCTGTGCTGCTACATCTAACATGTTCAACATTAAGTTTTTTTGAAGTCATTGATTTAACTGTTTCCTTTTTTTTTAACAGTGAGCTGTAAGTTAAAATTAGGGGCACACATATGATTTATTATGAAATAAATACATAAAATCATCTAGTCATTTTAAAATAAAATTATGTCAATGTATGTTTGAGAGTAAAATTGTGATTATAGAGCAACCATAAGATGTAAACTAATGCAGGGTTAGTCTATCACCTCTATGGATCCGGAACTGTAGGGGTTGTGGTTAGCCAGCCATATTGAAAGGTCTGAGTCACTTTTATTGTTTTAGGTGTATTCAAAACCTTAATAACTGAGTCGTAAGTGTTTCTGGAAGAGTGTAAACTTATGTTTTACTTTCCTAATTTTTATCAGGGCCTGGTGGTCCACCAGGTATCAAGGGAGACCGAGGTTTTCCAGGAACACCGGGCCTTCCTGGATCTCCTGTGAGTATTTTTTGTCAAACACTGCTTCTAGACTCAAATGGTCATTAGATATTTTACCCCAATCATCTTGCAAAAATAGATATTGAATCACTTACATTTCACAATAAACTACACCATGATACAGGGACAAAAAAAAGTAATTTTGAACATGGAATTTTGTTTTTTTTTGGACAAAAGACCTATGCTCAGTCTCTTCCACATAATGCAGCCACTGTCATATAGCAAACCAAGCCAGTGCCACAGAACGTGAGAACGTATCATTACCACAACGCTGTGCAGGACATTTGAAACTGGATGTTGGCTGGAAGGGCTTGTGTAATCCAGTCACGCTAGGTTAGGTAGCAGTTGCAGGGAATGGACCTGCTGGTCCAACTGCCATCAGAGGCGGGCAGACACTCTCCTCCCTCCGGCTGCTCTCCGTTGTTGTGGTTGCAGTACTAGTGTTCTTCTTCACTGGCGGTTGTTTTCCAAAATTAATCTGAAATGCCTTCCCATGCCATATTTCCTCCTCGTTTCTGTCTTTAGCAGTGGTTTCAAAAGTACACACATTTGTTACTTAAGTAGAACTATAGATACTGCAGTTTAAAAACACTCTGGTAAAAGTTGAAGTATAAACTTGACCTCTTTACTCAACTAAAAGTGAAAAAGTATGTGCTCCAAAAACTACTTAAAGTATAAAAGTATATAGTAACCTTTAAAAAAAAACAGCAAGATGCCACTATATGAATTGAAAACTCAATTTTTCAACTATTTTGAAAATTCTTTGAGATAGGGTCTCTTGTTGGTCTCCTTCTCCATCTCCCGATACGCTGTCGCCTGTGTCCCGACTTTCAGACATTTAAACATCTTTCTCTGAATCCGACATTATAGCATGGCATAGACATGAAGAACACCTGCCTGCTTCTGATGATTTCCTTTGGCTAACCAATGAGTGTTTGCGTTATATGACTCATCCAATTCCACTAGTTTTCACTAGATGTGGATGGCGCCAATGATCTGCATTGAATGGCATACATGATAAATATTTATAAACATTAAATTAGGGGTAACCAATTAAAAATCAGTGAGGTCAGAATAAATAAAATCATCAACCAGTAAAGTTCTGGAGACATTTTTAATGATCTGTTACTTTAAACAGAATTTAACACTGAAATAAAATGATATATTTATGCATTTATGTTATACATTGAATTAAAAAATATATAAATAAATAGAAATTGCCAAAAAACTGCATCCCGTGCTATCTCAGAGGACTTGACACTTGTATGACTGTATTCCTGTATATCCATCGGTAGTTAAATGACAAGGGTCAGCAAATGCAAATTCTGCCTGTAAAACAATGACAGCGTAGTTGTTGCTGTATGATCTGAAGCCTCATTTGAAGCTTTTAAACAGGCTTTTGAAAAACTTTGATAATTTGCTGCTGTAATATTATAGATCTTTTAGAATAAAAAGCTAGCAAATGTGCATAATAAAAAACAAACAGAAATACAATTATAGAGCATTCAGTGTTGTAAGAAAGCCCACAATGTTTCTTAATGAATAAATTATTGTATGAGTTAAGTTCTGTTCCTTTAAGTCTCTTTCCTTGTAAGTATGAAATTTCCTATGCTTCTGAATGCACCATAGCTATCTGAAGTTCACGAGTGCATCACACTGGTCTATGAACGCTGTGCTGTGTAGATGCACGTTTGATTTTCCGCTTAAGACAAAGCTTTGCAGTTTTCAAAATCACGTCGGCTATAACTGTTTATTGTTGTGTGTGATTAACAAGGGACTACAGTACAAAAAAATAAATCAGCTGTAACTCTGACAAAATCTTTGGATTTAATGTTGTTCATAACACCTTTACTTTTATAAATGAATCTGCCAAATAACCAACATTTTTTTCCCACGAGAGGAATATTTAAACGTTTTTATATCATTAATATAACAACATTAGCTCCATTGTACATATTTTTATCAGTTTTCCTCATCTATAGTCGCAGTTGTACAGAGCGAGGCGCGCTTACACGACTGGGGATGCATATCTCAGCAGGGATGCACTTTTCGGCATAACACCGGACCGCGGTCCTCTAATCCGTGACCTCTGCATTAAACCGAAGCCAAGAGTAACGAGTAATGTTTGTTTTAAAAATGTAAGGAATAGAAAGTACAGATACTTGTGTGAAAATGTAATGAGTAGAAGTCAGAAGTAAGACGAAAAATAAGTAATGCTGTGAACTTGTGTTGTTTAGGCCTCAAAATCTGTAAATTAAAATACAAATACACATAAAGTAAAATACAAAAAGTCAAAAATGTATTTACAGAAATATGCATAAGAAAATTATAATTTGTGCAAAGTGTTTTTAATAGATTTTTACAAAAAATCTCCCCCACTTCCCGTGGCAATGGCTTGATAACCATTGATACACTGCACCTAAACTATTGTATTTGTTATGGTATTAATCCCACTAATGTTAGAGTAAGGATAAATACAACATGAGAGGATATATTATATTAAAGATAAAGGCTAGGTTTAGGTCTTAACTCCACTGATGTTAGGGTTAAGGTTAATCTAACATCCATCCTTTTTCCGTCATGCTTATCCCAAGTGGGGCCATGAGGGGTGCTGATGGCTATCTCCAGCTGTCTATGGGTGAGAGGCAAGTCGCCAGTTCATGACAGGGCAACACAGAGACAAACAGGACAAACAACCATTAACTCACACACTCACTGTTAAGGAGAATTTAGAGAAACCAATTAACCTAAGAGTCATGTTTTTAGACTGGGAAGAAGCGGAGTACCCAGAGAGATTGCATGCACAGGGAGAACATGCAAACTCCATGCAGAAAGACCCCGGGCCGAGAATCAAACCCGGAACCTTCTTGCTGCAATAGAGCCATGCTATCCACTGCTCCACTGATCAGCCCACCTAATCTAACATGGCAGAGCAATTTAAATTAGTCAGATCGGGGTTAGGCATAGGGGTGTGGGAAATAATCGTTTTGGCGATATATCGTGATATTCGGCTGCCCAATATAATATCGATCTTTCACTTCTTAGTATCGATTAAAAAAAAAATGGTTACTTAAAACATTGATGGGAAAAAGGGGTACCTCTGCACCACCACTCTGGCAGAAAGCGCTGTGGAGCCCTTTAACTGTGCGTGCAGCACTAAATCTGTATTTGAGGCAGTCACAGTGGAAGAAAACCCCAAACAACATGGATAATAATACCTAATCAATATTTTCTGATGAAAATATACAGCACTTTCTGTTTTATCTCATAATTAGATTTTGATAGCTGGGGAAAATATGGCAATATATAGTGATACTGCAATATCGTGATAATATTGTATCGTGACCCAAGTATCGCGACATATATCGAATCGCAACACTCATGCCAATACTCACCTCTAGTTAGGCAAGAGGTCCACCGATGTCAAGGTTACCTACCTTTTATAATTGGTTTAGATGAAGTCTATATATGATTATCAAACATATAATAACTATCTGTTAATCATTGATGAATTTCTAAATCTCAACAGATAAATAGACAGGTTAGAAGGGAATATAAATTTATGCAGTGCTGCAGAGTTTTGGGGTTATGTGTTTGCTTCTTTAAAGCTTTAAAATATCTTTTGTTCAATCATTGCAGATGATTGTTTGAGTAATCTAGTCATTATTAGTATAGTAAAAACATAAAAGTCATACATTTAGATGAATTTATGAGATGTGTTAATGCCAAGCACAATACATATTGCTTTAAATTTTACAAAAAATTATTTCTCTGAACTTATCTTCTGCATTTTGTTATTTATTTGTTTTTCTCCGTTGGCCTATACCTACAAGTTGTCTTCGCTTCTCAGAACATAAAATGCATACTAAATAGATTAAGAGTTTTTTGCTGAGGTTTTGTTGTCCCCATTTACATATAATATATTTTTTTATGGATTAATTTATTTGATCCAGAATTGCCACCCTGCCAATACCTTTTGCCCTCCTTTGCAAAAATGAAAAATCTAAACTAAACAGATAGTTTGCAAGAATATCACAATCGCATGAAAAAACACTGCTTAAAGAACCAACATGTTTATCTCTCACCTGCTGATTAATTTCTGATCCCCAAGATTCTATTTTTCCAAACAGGAATAAAATATATATATATATATTTTTTAAAGGTGAGCATGTTTCAAAATATCAAACAAAGTTGATATTGTGAAATAGTCAAGTGCAACTTTGCTTTCTCAGCACCTACACCTTTTGCTGCACTGTATGGAACTAGTAGTAGATGTTGAAAAGCCTCCAATATGTCCGAATTTAAAAGTTTAGCTGAATGAGACAAAATCTCTCAACAATATAATCATAATTTTGTGACTAGCTATTGGTAAAGGCTAAGGATTGTTGTTCATGTCAGTTGTGGCACAACCATATTTAGGTTTAGGGGGAAATTATTTTTTCACATGGGGCTAGAAGGGTTTAGATACCTTTTATTTCTTTATAAACCCATACTATTTGAAACTTCTGCTTCATTTTTACCCTAGTTATCTTTGAATAAGCTTTAAAATGCTTTCATCAGCAGAGCAATCTGATGGTAACCAAAAGCAAAAACAGAAGACGGTAAGCGTTCATTTTTGGAATGACAATGTTACTCACTAAAGACAAAATTAGCTATTGCTGAAAAGCAATACTATTTAGCTTCTATACCTGTGAGTGGGATATGATTTGAAGATAAGGGTTGGTAATAATAAAGCTGAATTTTCACTGTCTGTAAATAGTCTGAGCTTATGTATATTTTATTAAGATCAACCACCCTAAAGTATTTCATACAACCTTCAGTCTTTCACCTATTGAAGATGGTGACCTACAGTACAGTATAGCTACATCTGCAGCAGACTGACAGAAACAAGGCTCCCTTACTCTCAGACATCAGACCTTTTGTAGCAGATCAGCCAGATAATCGGTGACTATAAGAGCGAGTGGGAACTCAAACCATCAATCCACCGCTAACAGGACAAACTTCTGCCTGCTGAGCCACCGTTGCCACACAGAATGTCATTTCTCCATGTCCGTCAGTAAACCAGGTTATACTTTCATATTCTTTGTAGGGTAACACTGGTCCTCAAGGTCTTCCAGGGTTCCCTGGACAGAAGGGAGATCCGGGAGAAGCCAGCACAGTCACAGGTGTAAGAGGAGAGAAAGGTGATCCTGGTTTCCCTGGACCCCCGGGGCTGCCTGGTCTGGATGGTCGGCAGGGTCGAGATGGACAGCCTGGACCTCCTGGCCCCAAAGGAACTCCTGTGGGTGACTTCTGTCCTTTACATTAAGCAGGTCCAACATAATACATTGAAAAAACATTCCTATTTGAACATGTGCCCTACAGGGTTCATTACTTGTAAAAGGAGAACGAGGTCCGCCTGGGGAGACAGGTCCACCCGGCATCCCAGGAGACAGAGGTCCGCCAGGTCAAGCTGGCTTTGGAGTTCCAGGTCTACCAGGAGAGAAAGGTGTTCCAGGCAACATAGGAAGTCCTGGAACTAATGGAGCAAAAGGCAAGAAGGGGCCTAATATGTTATTGAATGAAATATCCTTTAGACTGTTATATGTTGCTCTGTGAACGGACGCCCACTTGGCTGGGTTAGGAAAACAATGTGAATTGAAAGTGCGAATTGAGCTCAAATCATGATCAGTTAACTCTACAAATATAGAATAAAGTCAAAAGATAAGAATCTATTAACAAATACAATTTGACTCCCAGCTATACGTATTTAAGTTGAGCTAGTAAGCATAAACTAAGTTGCTAAATACACAAAGAAGAAGGAAGAATGAAAATGGTTACATAAAGATAATAAAGTGATACAATAATATCACAGTTTGGCATAGATTTTGTGGTTGAGAACCAAAGTAAATTTTGAAAGGTTTGGAACGAGGTCAAATAAGGTAAACAGTTTAGAGGAATTGGAATTTTCTCAAACAAATTCACAGTGCAAATTCAAGGAGGTTAATAAAACATTATTGGGTGAAATTATGTTTTATTAAATAATTTACCTAATTTAGAAATTAACCTTTTGTAAATGTTCATGAGCTAATAGTTAAGGTAGTACGATGGGGTATTAGAAGTCGTAACATTACGAGAATAAAGTCGCAACAAGAATAGCCATAAAATTATGAGAATAAAGTTGGAAAATGACAAGAATAAAGTCTTAACATTACGAGAATAAAGTCGTAAAATTATAAGTATAAAGTCATAAGCTTTTGAGAATAAAGTCGTACATTTACAAGAATAAAGTCATAGTATTACGAGAAAAAAGTCACAATGAGAATAGTCATAAAGTTAGAAATATAAATTCGTAAAATTACGAGAATAAAGTCTTAACTTTACAAGAATAAAGTTGTAAAATTATGAGAATTAAGTCATAAAATTGAGAGAATAAAGTCATAATATTAAGAGAATAAAGTCATAAAATTAGGAGAAACGAGTTGTATTTTATGACAACATCTACAAGAAGCACTTTCTTCACTTAAGCATTAAGTTATAATTTGGCTCTGGTTTGACAAATAAGAAAATCTTTTAGCACCAGCATCAAATTAGGCAGTATGTCAAAGGGGACTCAGGTTGCTGTTTGGTGGCGCTAGTCGACCATTATATGCTGGTCAGAGCTCGAAGCGTTCTTTCTGGAACGGGTTGTTGTATGATGACTTCATTTTCGTAATATTACAACTTTATTCTCGTAATGTTATGACTTTATTCTCGTAATGTTACGACTTTATTCTCACAATAAGAAATAAAAAAAAATCTGTAACCTGGCCCTAATACGCCCTAATAATAATCGTAAAGGTAGAGACCACCTAGCCTCTTTAGCTAGTTCTGGTTAAACAATGGAGCTTTTGGCTTGCAGACATTAGGGAACATAATTTAAATGGAGTCTATGGTTAAATGTTGCCAATGAAATGTAATGAGCATATCAGCAAACACAAACGTATGTGTTTATTCCATTAGTGATTTACTTTCCAAATGCCAGCTTAAAACATATATACATTGGGTACCATGCAGTCGCCTCTAGCGTGTTTTTAGCTTGCCTTATAAAACAGTAAATGTTTGAAATTGTCAAACACCATCAAATGTTCGAATTTCTGTAAAGTATTTTCCCTAACTGTGCCTGACCTGTAACCTGTCATGATTTGTGGTTGGTGTGCTAGCCCAAGGATGCAGAACTCACAGACTCAGAGGAAGGATCAGTCCAATATTTATTTAAGAACACCGGTAATCTGCCCTGGAAGGCAGAGAGGACAGAAAACAGCTTAAACTCAGGGATCAAAACTAAACTGAAAACTCACGGGTTCGCTGGTTCAGACAGGCAGAGTAGCACAGGTAACGGACATGGCAAGGCGTGGCAAAACACGGCTAACATGGCTAAGACATGCTACATGGCTTGGGAACACATGGCTAGGAAACACAAGGCTACGATCCGGCTCCGAGTGAAGCTGTCACACAGCTTATATGGGGAGAGGTTAATGAGCAGAGCTGATGGGAAACAGCTGTGCGCTGAGAACCAGCTCCCAGGAGAAGGATCCACATCGCCCTCTGGTGGGCAACCTCTGGATCCCCACAGGAAAAGAAGCTCACAGGAAGGGATACAAACAGAAACAGAAGCTACAGAATGGGATCCACACCGCCCTCTGGAGGGCAAACCTTGGATCCCAACAGTACCCCCCCCCTCAAGGGCGGATACCAGACGCCCAAAAACAAAAAAACAGAAACAAAACAACCCACCTAGGGCGAACAGAGGGGGTAATAGGCACGGAGGGCCAGGCACAAAAAACAACAGGTACCAGAACTCAAAACAACCCACCTAGGGTGGGCGAGGACAGAGAAAGTCTCAGGTGACCGGCCAAGGGGCCGGTAGCAGGGCTAAATCTCAGGTGGCCTGCCGTGGGACCGGCAGCAGGATAGAGTCTCGGGTGGCCGGCCGTGGGGCCGGGGACAAGGCAGAGTCTCAGGTGGCTGGCCGTATGGCCGGTGTCTCAAAAGCTGCAGGGGCCATGGAGGAGGACGCCTTCTCTGCTGCAGCAGGAAGCGCGGAGGAGGACGCTGTTTCTGCTGCTGTAGGAAGCTCCGAGTTGGACGCCGTCTCTGCCTCTGCGGGGAACAACGAGGGGAACGCCGTCTCAGCTGCTGCGGGGAGCGTCGAGGTGGACGCCGACTCAGCTGCTGCGGGAAGCGTCGAGTAGGGCGCCGTCTCTGCTTCTGCGACACAGCAACAGGCTCAGCAGCAACCGACGACTGTGGCTCAGGAGGAAGCTCAGAGGGAAGCGTCGACTGCAGCTCAGGAGGAGGCTCAGAGGAAAGCGTCGGCTGCAGCTCAGGAGGAGGCTCAGAGGAAAGCGTCGGCTGCAGCTCAGGAGGAGGCTCAGAGGAAAGCATCGACTGCAGCTCAGGAGGAGGCTCAGGGGAAGCCGCCGACTGCAGCTCCACCCCTGGAGCAGGGGAGACCACCGACTGTGGCTCCACAGGAACCCAGGTGGCTGCAGATTGCGGCTCCGGATCAGGAACAGAAGCGGCCGCCCATTGCGGCTTCACATCAGGAACAGAGGAGCCTGCTGATTGCGGCTCCCGGTCAAGAACAGAAGAAGCCGCCCATTGCGTTTTCGCATCAGGAGGAGAGGTGACCACCGATTGTGGTTCCGGAGGAGGCTCAGAGGAAAACGCCGACTGCGGCTCCGAATCAGGAAGTGAAGAGGCCGGCCGTTGCGGCTTCGCATCAGGAGCTGTGGAAACCTCCAACTGAGGTTCCACCAGCCAGGAAGGCGGCGAACAGCGCATAGCACGCCAAAGGGTCTCCAGATTACCCATATACTCCCGATTCCAGCGATCCCACTCCTCATCACGTTGGCGACACCTCATTTCCCATTGGCGATCCAACTCCTCTTTACGTCGGCGCCGCTCCATCTCCCGTTTCCGGATCACCTCCTCCCACCGGACTGATGCTGGCGGATGAATCCGAGCAGGCTTAGGGGTCTCTAGACGGCTCGGGGCTAACTCAGGGGCAAAGGCAGCCACCAGCTCATCATAGTGACGACGAAGCGCCTCCCACCCGGGAGGTAGCGGACGGCGCTGAGCGGGCCTCACCAGGTGAGCGTGCTGGGAGTCTGCTGGGCTAGTCAGTTGGCCGGATCGTTCTGTCATGATTTGTGGTTGGTGTGCTAGCCCAAGGATGCAGAACTCACAGACTCAGAGGAAGGATCAGTCCAATATTTATTTAAGAACACCGGTAATCTGCCCTGGAAGGCAGAGAGGACAGAAAACAGCTTAAACTCAGGGATCAAAACTAAACTGAAAACTCACGGGTTCGCTGGTTCAGACAAGCAGAGTAGCACAGGTAACGGACATGGCAAGGCGTGGCAAAACACGGCTAACATGGCTAAGACATGCTACATGGCTTGGGAACACATGGCTAGGAAACACAAGGCTACGATCCGGCTCCGAGTGAAGCTGTCACACAGCTTATATGGGGAGAGGTTAATGAGCAGAGCTGATGGGAAACAGCTGTGCGCTGAGAACCAGCTCCCAGGAGAAGGATCCACATCGCCCTCTGGTGGGCAACCTCTGGATCCCCACAGGAAAAGAAGCTCACAGGAAGGGATACAAACAGAAACAGAAGTTACAGAATGGGATCCACAACGCCCTCTGGAGGGCAAACCTTGGATCCCAACATAACCGTTGCTGGTCTTTGCTTTGGAAAGGTGAGCCAACTATAAAGTTCAGGAAAGCTTAGTCCAGGTGATATTCCTGGATGGGTCTTGGTTCGGATGGCCTAGCCAGGTGGCCTTTGTTCTTTGTTTTTCTGATTTACTTCTGAAGACTGTAACAGACATGTTACAGTCAATGTCTGTTTTGCAGCAATCTGGTTCTGCACATGGCTTCAGGACTACTTGACTTGAGCTGGGGTTGAGGGATAAAGTTTTTTTAAGCCATGTTGTCTTTGTCCTCCCTAACGCGTCTCTTCTGGAACAGAGAGGCCAATCAAAGAGGATGAGGAATCTGTGAATAGTGGATTCTATGCCCTGTAGAGTCAGGAGCAGCATCACATCCCTTTGAATGAGATTTGGGAGTTTTTGGAAAAGAGTTGGAGCAGCTCTTGGGAGTTGGTACAACTCCCAAAAACTTACAAAATTTATATAATTGCTTATGGCATAACAGTTGGGGAACCAGTAAAGTAGCTTTTTAAAGAAGTAAAAGCAACTCTTCACAGAAGCAAATGTGATGAAACTCCAATCCGGAATTAACATTTACATTGATTTGTAGGTGCCAAAGGTGAACCTGGCTTGCCTAACACAGTAAAAGGTCAGCCAGGACCCCCTGGACCGAGTGGCGAGCCAGGACGACCAGGTCCACCAGGTAGTCTATCACACATGCAAAGTAAAACATTCTCTTTTTCTGTCAAAAATAATTGCAACGTCACATACTGTACAATACGGCCTTTTATCAGGTTCCCCAGGTCAGCCAGGACAGCCTGGTTTCCCAGGTTTAGCTGGACCAAAAGGTGATCCTGGACAACCAGGTATTGGACTCCCAGGTCCTCCAGGAGTGAAAGGTAAAACTGACCCATTCAATATACCATTTACCTATCCTTTATTTGCATCATAAAATCACTCATATTAATCATCTATGGTCTAATAGGATTCCCAGGTATTCCAGGTCAGCCAGGAAGACCTGGAGAAAAAGGTATACCAGGAATAGATGGACTCCCCGGAACGCCTGGGTTTCCTGGTTCAAAGGTATGATAGGTATCTTTGATAATTGATAGACAGTGACATTTTCGCTAATCTTAGACAGCACAGTTATTTCCTGTTTGATAAATATTTAATATCTCCCTTCCTGCATGTGCGTGTAAAAGGGTGAGCCAGGTTTTGGACTTCCTGGTCCTCCAGGTCAACCAGGAATACCTGGAGCTAAAGGTTTCACTGGACCAAAGGGAGATTCTGGTTTCCCTGGCAACCCAGGCGGACCAGGACGACCTGGGTCTGATGGATTTCCAGGCACTAAAGGTAAAGTGTAGTATTTGTAAATAATATGTTCATACAAAAATATTAAGATGACAATTAAAAAGCATGGCGCCTAACCTGACTGCCATCCCTTCATTTGCGCGTAGGGGACCCGGGCACACCTGGTCGACCTGGACCTCCTGGACCCCCTGGAAGTACAACAGGTGGTGCAGTTGGTCCTCCTGGTCCTCCTGGACCTCAAGGCCCAATGGGACCACCAGGTAGGACACAAAAGATTAGGTTTAGATGGATTTTCTTTCAGTTTTCTACCATAAAATTTAATTTAAAAAAGAGAGAATATAGACTATAAATAATGGTATTATTTTTATTTGATAACTCAGCATGTTTTATGAGATTTTGTGCCTTTTTTTTTAGCATGTCTGACTCTTTCTATGTCCATGTTTGGTGTCTGGATTTGGATACCATGTCTAGTCTTTACTAAAATGCACATCATCCATGTTGATTACCTTAAACAACACTGCCGCTTGAGTTGTTTGGGCTGATTTAAAAGCACACATCACTGCTTTCTGTGTGGTTGTGTTCAGAGCATGTACACTTTTTAAAGAGTTTTAAAACTACCCCACTCTTTTGGTGGTTATTTCGCTCTTCAGTGGGCTCCATGTCTTTGTCCGGGAAAATGTATCCGTGTCTTGACCGTGTACCACTGCTAGATCCACGCGTCGCCTGTTATCCATAAACCGCCACAAGTGTCACTTTCATTCTTGATTCTTTGATTCAAAACAGTCTCTTGCAACTGCAGTTTGCACAACTTCAATATGACAGATACTCGCTTTCACATGTTGAACACCCTTAACATCACTTAGTACAATTTCTGCAGGAGCACACCAAGCAAGAACTAACACTACAGGGTGTCAGCGTGCTCGCATTTACATCAGCACGTTTTACCTTACTTCCAACTCCTCTTTCTTATTGTACAGCATACTTTACCACTAGGTAGACAGTTCTGTTAGTTTGCTTTCGTTATTCAGTTATTACTAGTTAGTCAGCGCTAATAGTTGTTTTGCATATATAGTTCAGTCTAAAGTTTATATTTTCCTCACTGGCATGAATGTCCTTTTAATTCTGGAATTTAAATTGACTTTAATTCTAAATTTTTCTGTGTTGACTGATACAACAATTATTCTTAGTGTAAGAATAGGTAAAATTTTATGAATTTTCTCTCATCTTTGAACAGTCAAAATTGTGAGCTAAACTCGACGCTTAATAAATGATAAGTGTTTCTTAGCAGGTTTCAGAGACAAACACATTCAAACACATTTGGTTTTCTGTGACAGAAGTACTTAATTAAATTCAGTTTATTTGGTGAACTGTAAAGTGCCTTCAGATGACATGTGTTGTGAATTGGCGTTATATAAATAAACTGAATTGAATTTAAATTATTTATATAGCGCCAATTCACAACAAACGACAATTAAACCAGATCATACAGTCAAATGGATTCAAAGTTCTCTATCTAAGGAAAACCAGTTGATTGCTTTGATTCACTGACTTGAAAGAAATCCCTCACATCAAGCATGCTTGTAGCGAACAGTGGTAGAGGAAAAACTCCCTTTTAATATGAAGAAACCTCCAGCAGAATCAGGCTCAGTGTGAGCCGCCGTCTGATAAGGTTGCTGGTGTTCAAGCAGACTTGAATAAGAAGCAGAGATACAAAAGGCAACTATCAAACAGCTCCACAGGCGGCCCCATCCAGGAAATACTGTAGCTTTTAGATGACAAGCTCCCAATATGGTTGATGTCACGTCCCAGTTTCAACCTACAGTATCTAGCTGCTGATACTGTATAAACATAGCTGGTTTTATATTGGAAAAAGCAGGGTAGTTTTAAGCTCCTGAAATGGCACCAGCTTCAGGCCAACTGGAAAATTAGGGAATATGGTTAAAAGCTGGCTCTTTTAATTTTTTTTAAACCTGTGAAAACTCCACAGGTTTTACTGAAAATTGTGGTCAAATGTCCAACTAGAGTTGTTGATAGATTTAAAGGACGCCTTTCTCTGGTGTTATTTGCTAACCAAATATCTGAATGACCAGAATTGTTCCTTCCCCAATAAAAATGTTTCAAATTAATTGGAAAAAAGTGACATTCATGCTGAGGATAAGTGGGGATAAACTTTAAACTGGAACTCTATATGGACCTTTTGAAATCCAGTAACTTACACGTTTTAATGCATTGAGTGCATTAAACTTTGCTCTTCTTATCTCATTTGCTCTGCACTCTGAAACGCACCCCTTCCTTACCTGCGACGCTTTGATGCCAAGGCGAGAAAGGTATTGTAAGCAAACTTTGGTACAGCCGATGGCACTGAAATGTGACGTGTTTTCTGTTTTGAAAGATGAATGTTAAGTGTCATGTATCTTTCCTTGAGTCGGCCTTTGTCTGGTTTATATTGCGGGAAAAGCCTATCTATTACACATTTTTAGCTATTAGCCAGCCGCTCACATTGCCGATGTTCTTAATTTTACGTAAAATTGAAGTCAGAAAAGGTTAAACCTTTTTAACTTTAGCACTTTCAGCACCATCCACAGCAGTAGTTACCTTTAATGGTTATATATTGAATTGTCTTTAGGGATTTACAAGAATCTAATATTTCTGATATTTACAAATTAAAAATACATTTTCCGTCACCAAATTACTGTCTCCTCTCTGGTTCAATTCAGTATCTGAAGTCTAGAAAGGGTTCATGTCACAGAGGTGGTGGATGTTTAGATGTCTCTGTACTGATTTAAAATTACCATCCTTACAGGATTCCCAGGAGGAAGTGGAGAAAAGGGTGACCCAGGGCCACCAGGCTTAGACATCCCAGGTCCACCGGGTGAGAAAGGAAATCCTGGTTTTCCAGGTGCCCCTGGACCGATAGGAATCCCAGGACCCCCCGGAGGACCTGGAAGGGACGGCAGGCCCGGAATACCAGGTGAAAAACTGTTAACTGTAGCCTTAAATGTGGTTTGTAGCATTTATTTTGTTTGTTTCATGGGGGGGTTTCACTGTGTGGTGCCCGGGGAGCAGTCTGGGGATAAGGGCCTTGTTCAAGGACCTTGAGTGGCAGTCCTCGCTCTAACCACTTGGCCACGACCTCCCCTTTTGTAGCATTTGTAAATTGAAATTGTATTTTATAATGCTCTATTTAGTATACTGGATATCAAAATGTTCCAATTGTTTTTACAACATTTTATCTGATCTTTTTGTCAATGAACTGAAATATCAGGGTTGAGGAATTTTCATTTAATATTACAATATTTATCTGTTTTTGGTTTGCAAAAATATAAAGTTTTTGTTTATTGGTTAGCTTCAAGTTAAGTACAAGATGAATGTTGGTGAAAGTAGACACTGCCTTGCATGGATCCATCAGCCTTTACCAATTTGTGAAAAGAGGTTTATATACTGTAAGACAAACCCTCATTTATAATTCTTTTATTTAGGAAGTATAAATCTATCCAACCTTTATGTCATTGAGTGAGTGGCTCCGCTGTAAGCTTTGTCACCTGAGTGACAAAGTGTCACATGAGCCACCTTCATACATGGTACACCACTTAATGTTAAGCTGCTATAATTCTCTATTTCAGTTTATTTTTTTACCTCTGTTTCACCTGCTGTCTACTGGGCCACTGCAGGTCTGAAAGGTGACATGGGTCCAATAGGACCTCCAGGACAACCTGGGGGACCTGGCACTCCAGGAGGGCCTGGTGCACCAGGATTTAAAGGTACTTACACAAACACTTCAAATTAAAAATTTGCCTCCTTTCTAAATAACAAGATGCTTTGATAGAGGGGTGAGAACTTTCAATTCATTTCAATTTCAAAATTACATAAAAATGTACATTAAAAATTTACTCACATATTACTGATATATGAGTAAATTTGAGACTGGCAACAGCTGAGGCAGCACTGACGAAGCCTCCATCACTTTCAAAGTGTTGATCTGTCGTCCTTTGGGGTAGTTGGTTGATAAAAATGGTACTATAACTCTGTGGCCTTTCTATTAGCTCTACATTTTGAAAATATTTCAAATGTTTGAATCAACTTGAACCATATTTCATTACTCTGATCTGACCTGAACTAGATGATGCTTCTGTACTTAGGAGTTTTAAATTAATGGAAAGCTTTGTTCTATTTTTAAAACAAAAAATTAAGCATGCTTTGACATTCAGATTTGACACTTTAGATAATAAACTGTCTAAAAATGAATGGATGAAACCTTTATCATATTTGAAGAAGATATTCTAATCGCACGATTATCAGCTATTGTGAAAAAAGAAGGATAAGAAAATATTGGAGTTCAAAATTTTTGAGGTTCCTGTGTCATTGTGCCATAGGTGAACCAGGATTTCCAGGCAGAAATGGAGTCCCAGGTGCTCCAGGTTCCAAAGGAGATAAAGGAGACAAAGGATTCCAAGGACCCCCTGGACCCCCTGCACCAATAAATATTGCTGGACAAAAAGGAGATCCTGGACCACAAGGTACAAATGGAAACATGTCAACATATCACCATCTTTAAATCATCTTTTAACTTCCACAAAACTCTCACTCTACCATAAAGATTTAATGAATTCCCATATGTTTAGGTTTAGCAGGCCCACCTGGAGTAAAAGGCATTTCAGGTCTTCCTGGTGAACCTGGATTACCTGGACAAGATGGACGCCCTGGAGCTCCTGGACCACCAGGTAGCAGGTTCCATCAAGGATGGATGGACAGATGGATTATTTGACATTGATCCTTTTCTGTCAGTATGTTTTGTCCATAATTTGATGTTTGGTTTTTCTAGGATTTAAAGGAGAACCTGGATTCCCAGGGAATCCTGGTGGCCCTGGAATTCCAGGTCCAAAAGGCAACATGGGAGATATGGGAATTCCAGGTGGGTGAGCTTTCCTAATGGCAGATCTTTATTTATATTATGTCACCGGTAATGTCTTTATAAATGCATTTATACTTTCATTTGTACAGATTTATGTATTAGGAAAGAATAGGAAGGACTTTATCCTTCATTTATGTTCTGACATGGTTCTAGTTTGCAAAAATGCAGCCTTTTTCACAGTATCATTTTCTAATAGATCGGGACAAAAACAAAGCAGATGGGCTGTGAGTGAGTTCACTCCCTGATGCAAAAGCTTGTTTGACCAGTGTGGGCAGCGATGTTTAGCTGCTGTATTATATAGTATTCATCAAACTGTCTTATGAGCAAGGGCCCACTCAGATGTACCCTATGCTTCTATCAAATTTAAGATTAATGACACAAGTCGACTGGACCATCATTTTTACTGTTGCAGATCTGCAGATCATCAGCTTTGTTTAATTGGCCCTTTTGGGCCTAGCTTCATGTGTTTAGCAATTGTCTTTGGTTTTCGCAGTGGAATACTATATTGCTTTAAACGCTGACATTAAAAATTAGAATGTGCTGTCTGTCATGCCATGAATTTGTTAACTGAGTGCAGACCTTCCAATTTGGTTAAGCTACCACTTGCTCTTATGCAGCTATATATGACCAGCTATATATTAGCAGCTATATTACCTCAATATATTCTGGTATCATAAAATTGTACAATCATTTTTGTTAACAGAACTTACATTACTGCAAATTGGAGATCAGTCAAAGCAAGGATATGTTCCTGTGTTGAATAGTGTTTTTCTCCATAAAAAGAAGAGTAAAGAGGGGGTGTGACGTATATATTTAATTTTATTTATTTATTTATTTGACAGGGACAGTGTACATTAAAAACCATTCCTGCAAATGCACCAGAATTAGTGAAAAGGCTATTTTTCATCTGTTGTCCCTGGACAGATCTTAAAATTGTCTACCTAAAAAAAACACACAACAGTAAGCATTCTACAATGAAAAATAACAAATATATAATGAAATAATAACAGCTATAACTCCTCAAAACTGATTTAAAAACACAGAATAAGTGTTCGCTGGACTACAGAGGTTCATAAAATAGAATAAAACATTTAAACTATGTATATATACATACATATATACATATACATACATACATACATACATACATACATACATACATACATACATACATACATACATACATACATACATACATACATACATACATACATACATACATACATACATACATACATACATACATACATACATACATACATACATACACACGTATACACATACACATATATACATACACAGAAGAGACAAGTGGCAGCATGGCTTGTTAATGATAGACATTCAACTAATGCTGACATGACTGATGTGTTATGAGCCTATTTTTTAGATGCTTTTTGGAAATAGTGTATGTTGTAAGTTCTCTGATGTTCTGAGGGACAGAATTTCATTCCTGAGAAGCTGTAACTGCAAAGGCTCTTTGACTGAAAGCACTTTTATGCAGAGGAACAACACACTCTCCTCTAGCTGACCCTCGTGTTCCGGATTTTCACAAACTGACTGAGTGGAGGAGATGACAGACCACGGATTATTTTATAAAACAGATAGAGGTTTGCATACTTGATGAAGTTTTCCCAGCTTAGAAGCTTATGTTTTAGTACTGTATAATGCCACAATGGTGATATTTTTATGTTTTTTTATCCAAAATTTCTTGCAGCATGCACATATCTATGCCAAATCTGTCTCTAGTTCTAGAAGCTTTAAGTGTCCTTATTATTTGTAAGACTTCTGATTCTGTGACTGTTTGTAGGTTGAAGATTGGCTCAATATTATTTGTTTAACACATATTTAGATTGTTAGGAGGGACGCTTTGGGCAATAGTTGACACAGATTCAATAAAAAAGTTATTGAAGGCATCTGCAACTTGGTTTGTATTATTTGTAATTTGTCCATTTATCTTAATTTCTAAATTTTGTTTAATTTTTGAGTCCTGTCCTACAAGTTTTTTTAGTTGGGTCGAAATTGTTTTGGAATCCCCTTTTGCATGTTCTATTATAGTGAGGAAAAACATCTACTTTGGCCTTGCATGTAGCTTTAACAGTTTTATTCCTCAGTGTTGTAAACAGTTTTTTAGCAGTGGCTGATTTAGTCTTAATTCCTGTTTTTAATGCAACATCCCTCTCTTTCATTAGTTTGAGAATGTCAGAGGTCATCCAGGGTAGTATGTTTTTGTTGTATTTGTGCTTTACTTTACAACTAAAATCTTTAATATTGCTCTCCATTGTAGCAACAAAAGATTTACAGTCAACTTCACAATTTTTTCCAATCAGTATGTGATCCCAATCAATCTGTTGGAAAGCACATTTAAATCCTTCCTGGTGTTTTTTGGGGGATTCCAACAAATTCAGGCTCCCTGAGAGAATGACCAAATCTCTTTTTTGAGAGCTATGCTAGATCAGCTTACCTTAGACATGCAAAGCATGAAAGTGAAAGAAAAATTTTGGACTAGTTAATTTGGCTCACATTTATTTGACCACAAGTCTTAAAATGTAATGCCCATATTAAATATTAAGTCAGAGTGAAGTCAGAGAAAAGTAACAAATTTGATTATGCTGAGGCCTCGACACTGAAAATTTTACCCCGTTCATTTCCAGTATTAATTAACTGTATACAATGGTAGTACAACACACATTGTTCAAAGAGCTGACATTCAACCACGTTTCCTCATGTTGAGACACCGGGGATAGATGTTTTTTGTTTTTTCTTTCAAAAAGTCCCCATTTCTGTATAAATTCAGTTTTTTCAAAAACTTTATTTTAATTCCTCTGTTTGCTGTTTGTTCTTTTCCATGTACAGCTAATGAAACTATGGCATTTAAGATTACAATGACATAAAGGACATTTTAAAGGGTTTAGTATTCCAAAGTTGTATTCAATACAACAAAAGAGCCTCGTTTAAAAAAAATCTATTGAACAAGGCTGGATTTAGTTAATTTAAAGCATTGTTGCTGCACCTTTAGCAAAAGTATAAAATACAAAATCAAAGAAGGTAAAAGAACTAACAAGTAGTAGAAAAAGAAGACTATTTATTAATAGCTTGACTGAGGTTATGTGTAAAAACACTTCTGTTTGCTTTAGGTCTTTAATAAAGCAATAAGCTTTAGGGGCTGATTGCTTTTATAAAAAGGTTACTTACCTATTACCCATAACATAAAGAAAAATAACAATACCATCACACACACATAAATAAAATTGGTAATAATGAAACAATACAACTGACAACTATTTTTTCCATTCTGAGTAAACAGCATTTTTACCTAGTGACCAAGTTTTTCTGTCATCGGTTCACATCAGGCTATCTGGGCTCATTAATGTTGTTACTTTAATTAATAGGGCAATTGTTAACTTAAAGTGTGGGGGAACAGTTGTGTGCGTTTGATGACATTAAAAAATTACTCAGCTGTGTCTGCTCCAAGACCTCCTGTCATCCCAGTTTAAATGCCAGTATGACTGGAGAGAAGTCTCACACCCCTGTAGCTTTACATATATAACTTCTCAATGCTTCCAGACCAACAATGGGTAGTTTTTGTATTGTGTTGCTATGTTGCAATTACTGAAGATGATCTTGGTGCCAGAGTTTCAACTATCTGCTTAACAAATGTGAGACACGGGATGCCACATGATGCTAGTGTAGTTTGTGCTGCGGGCTTACCATATCTAAGTGTGGGTAACACCGCATGGAAAGCACCTCAGCCAATTACATTTAAGTTTTATAAACTACAAAAACTTCTGCATGCTGTTGGTGATCAGTTAATCAAAAGTGTCTAAGTAACAGCACCTGCCTGATGCCTTCAATCCCGCACACACTCTTGGAACACACACTCAGTCAACCATTTTTTTTTTTTGGTTCAGTTTTTGGTTGAAAACTTAAACAAACTAATTAACAGCAATTTAGAGCCAAGCTTTAAACTTTAATATTGAACTCCTCCACTTTTCAATAACCCCACAGGACCTGCAGGGCTGAAAGGTACAGCAGGTTTTCCAGGTAGGCCAGGAACCCCAGGTCAGCCGGGAACACCTGGCCCTCAAGGACAAAAAGGTGAACCAGGTTCTGCTGGCACTGGACCACCAGGAATACCAGGATCGAAGGTGAATTAGTTAGGTATATTCAGTTTATAAACGTGAATTTTGGGTTAACAGATTGGGTTTTTTATTTCCTAAAAGGGAGATCCAGGTCAACCGGGTTTCCCAGGAAATCCTGGACTTAAAGGAAGTCCAGGCACACCTGGCCTTCCTGGTTTACCAGGCTTACCAGGGGCTAAAGGAGATGTAGGCCTCCCAGGATTCCAAGGTGAGTATGTTTAGTGTGTTATGTTTCTTATTTTAAAACTTTGATTTAACCAAACACACTGACTTCTCCTTTCTCTGTAGGTCCCCCTGGTAGCCCTGGTCCAAAGGGTCTTGATGGTGGGCCTGGTGCCCCAGGACTCAATGGAGGTCCAGGTAGACCAGGAGAGCCTGGTCGACCAGGACCCCTTGGACCCGTTGGAGAGAAGGGTCAGCCAGGAAGAGATGGCATCCCAGGACCAGCTGGAGTAAAAGGAGAGCCTGGTAAGTTGAAGTTTCAAAGATGTACAGTAGATTCTGGCTGAACATACTTTGTACGTGTTCAGTTTATTGTATGTGTTTTTCAAGGAATTCCTGGCTTTGGTACTCCTGGTCCTGCTGGAAGTCGAGGGTTGCCAGGTAGGTTATTCCCATCATGCTGCATTTAAACCCTAAATGTTTGTTTCTGTGTTTTCTGCTGTAACGTTTCTGTCTGGTTCTCCATGTTAAGGTGAGAAGGGAGACCCAGGTCCTCCTGGTCCAGCTGGCGGCCCAGGCTTTCCTGGCTCTAAAGGAGATCCCGGCTTCCAAGGTCCTCCAGGTCCTCCAGGTCTCAGTGGCCCTCCAGGACCTCCAGGACAGTCATTCCAGGGCGCTAAAGGGATTCAAGGACCCCCTGGACCACCTGGAAGATCAGGTAAAGGGCTTTGTTGGTGTTTGTCACCACGTGATCAGTTTGGAAGTTCCTGCCTGGTTTTCTGCAGTTAGAGAAAAAAAGCAACATATACTTTTAAACATCCAAGAAAAATTAGAGTGTGCTTTGTTATAAGGCCACTACAGGTTTTATATACGATGATGACTGAACCAACTTAAAAATATATATCACATTAGATAACTATTTATAACAGAATTTGGGGAAAACATTTGAATGGTTCCAATCAATGTCAGAATCTGGTTATTTAGTTTACAACCTCTAAGTAGAATCAGGCAGGAGATCCATGCTGAATCAGATATCAATCACAACCGTGTTCGTTGATTTGCATGGGTCATTGTTTCACTGATCAGCACCATTGGCCAAAGAGCCGCACCACTCTTTTCTTCCAGCACCAGGTTTTCAAACACATCGACCCCCAGCTTGACACCACAACTGTCAGGGCTTCCCCTTCTCTCACACGAGTCACAGTTTTCGCAAAGTTTTCACTTTGTACCAAAACACCATGTCTATTTTCACATTGTTGTGCCCGTGTCATCATCTACATTTGTTGTTCTTCCCATTATCTTTTTCCACACTTTCCCTCCTGACCGATCCCATCTTTGGGATGGTGTAAACTCCTTCTATCCCAACGCCAAAGCACCTAGTGAATGATATTCTGTACCTCTGTCTTTTCACAGCCTCTGTGTGTGTTTGGTTTCTTTTGATTGTTAGGAAGGTAAAACCTGGTGTTAATCATCTAAGCCACAAACAAACTCAAAACACTGTTTCATTTTGGATCAAACAGATTCCTTTATTTAGTGTATAGAAACGCACTGATTGTTCAGTTAATTATCAGATTCTGAAATCGATGATTGCCACCAGATCTGACAGCAAACATCAAATAGCTAACCTGAGGTTTGCCTTTTAACATTTCATGTAAGATTTTATTTGTAATCTTAGAAGTGAGCCCCTCCCAAACCTTTCAGCTCATGATGTAATGACTCAGAATAGAGGGACCCAGTATTAGGGCCAGACAGACAGTGGGATAACGTTAAAAGCATTTATTAAAAAACAACCGTTCTACGTATCTACAGTGGCTGCAGCTAGGGCGTCTAAGGCAGGAATCTTTGCAAGAGAGGAACACAGGTTAGTGACCACGGTAATCTAGCAGAGGTTGATTATGAACTATTGAGTCCCTAACCTGGTTTGACAGTTCAGTCCGTGCCCAGCCGGTCAGCTGACAAGACGCAGCAGACTCTGCCAGAGAGTTCCAGACGCTGAAGCTCCAGGACTGGTAGGAGATCTGGTCCGAGCAGACTAAGGAAGACAGGATAATCCACAGGGCAAAGACAAGAGGCAGATCCAGGTTCAGTCCACAGTGGAATCCAACAGGAGTCCGAAGACGGGTCCGGCAAACAGATCAGACAGGGGCAGGCAGGCTCAAATGTCAGAATACAAAAACGGGTCAGGATCAGGCAATAAGAACAGTAATAGCAACGCTCTAAGACTCTCTACACCAAATGCTCAAGAATGATGACTGGGAGCAAGCAGCTAAAATAGAGGCAGGAACAGGTGGATCAGATGAGCAGAAATGAGAAACCAGGCAGAGTTAGACGGGTGAATAAAATGTGCAATTAAGCCAGTCATCAGCGCCAAGATTATAACACAGAAATAACAGTGGCACAGACTCGTAGACCACCGGAAATAGATTTAATTCTTTCACTCTCTATGTATAAATATGTATAGAAATATAGAGTAAAGTTATTGCACTTATTTTTAAATACGATTAATTTTTAAAGACATTCATTCTTTAATTTAACTGTGCATTTCACATGTAAAGGTTTATTTACTGCAAATTTGAATCTATATAAATAAAAATTACCAACAGAAATGTTACATTTCCATATTTCAATGTAACATATATATATTTCCTGACAAATTTAGGCTCTCCATTTTGTTGCTCCAAACCCCTCTAAAGAATGTTTGAAGATATTTTGATGTGAGTTTTTTTATTAAATAAAAATCTGAGACATTTGTTGGTATGAAAGTAAATAACTCCTTTCAGTGGAGAAGGCCTGTAGACCCTTTGTTTAAATAACTCAATTTGGTTTACATCCATGCTAAAATAACACTATACCAGCATTTTTTAGCTTTTTGCCTAGCAAAGTAACACTAAGCAAAACAGCACTATATCAATCATCTGATTGTGAATAATACAAATATATATATAAAAATATATATATATATAAAAATAAACATAAAACTGCAGCATTTGTTGCCAGTTATTTTAGAAGGCCTCCCTTTATAGAGATTTATTACACATAGAGTAAAATGTTTGAAGATGTTTTTTCTTGTCATGTTCATGATCTTAGCTGACAGGTAAAGAAAACTTAGAATTCTGTTTTTATACTGCAAAAATTTAAATCTAAATAGGTCATTTGGTCTTAAAATAAGTGCATTTTTTCTTGAATTGAGGAGGTAAGTGAGACACTTTGCCAATGGAACAAGACAATTTACATTTGAAATAAGAAAAAACTATTGCATTATCTTATTTCAAGTGCATATTATCTAATTATCTTATTTTAAATGTAAAAATACTTCATCCATTGGCAAACTATCTTATTTACCAGCTCAAATTAAGGGTAAATATTAGGGCTGCAACAACGAATCGATAAAATCGATAAAAATCGACTTTTAAAAGCGTTGGCAACGAATTTAATCATCGATTAGTTGTGTCGCGCGATTAATGCGTCATCCGCCGCCGCCGTCATCCCGGGGAAGAAAAAAAAATATGGCGGAGCGAGTCAGCGCCGCAGTTGCAGTGTTGACAACTCAGCGACTTTTCAGACCCCTCCAACGACTATTTTTTTAAAAAGCGACTAGCGACAAATCTGGCGACTTTTTACGGTGTCACTGGCGGCTTTTGGAGACTCTTACGTGAAAGCATGTATCGTTCCTACTTTTGTCCTCCAGCGGCAGCTGCTGCCGTGGGGCGCCTCCCCCATCCCAACGCCTTTCTCCCTCTCCCACAGAATCCCTCTCAGCGGTGCAGTCCGAGCCGCAGGATTTTAGTGAGGAGTTTACCCTCAGCGTCCAGACTGCAAATGAAGCGCGCATGCCCCGGGATTGACGGCGCAAATTGATCACAATAATTAAAATAGCCTGCGCTTTGTAAAGTGAAAAAAGTCGTAACATGCAACTTTTGTAAAAAACAAATAAACATGGCACGGAAGCACCACTGTTATGACGCAGCACCTGAAAAGAAAACATGTTGGAGCCTTCAATGGCAGTGAAGAGAGCTGATCAGCAGGATGAGTAACCATGTTTGTTTCATTTTAAAGTGGGGAAACGTAAGTTAGTTTCTCAGGTAGCTCATCTGATGCTTTCCTTACCGTGTTAGTAGGTTACAGACAGTGATAAGGTTGGCTACTTATTTTACTTTTAATTTCATTTGAATTACCTTAAGCAGCGTTTATATTTTCTTTATAAATAAATTAATTTGCAAATTATGAGGGCAAGGCTTTTAAAGTTTAAATCTTCTGGCAAAGATAAAGTAAAGAAGATCCTGCAATTTATGGAAGTAAAGCAGAATAAAATCCAGCAAGATCAGTAATATGTCAATTAAGTATATGCCACATTCCCATGTAAATATCTGTCTTTGGAGGATGTGTTTTTTATCACCCTTAGTTCTCTCATTTTTATTCCAAATACAATTTATAATTTGAATCACAGGGCTATTTTTATCTCTATGGTTCAGTATTTTCTCAAGTAGCAACTTTAACTGCTATACTTTCCTGTCTTAAAAGGCAGAACTCTTCTAGTCTAAAAAAACCTCATTTGTTGAAATGGGGGGGCCTATTGTTTGAACCCCTTAGGGGCTTTAAAAAACAAAAATGCCTGTCTCTTTTTGCGCTTTATGAAACAAAGTAGCCTATATTTTGTGGATGTACAGCTACATTTCTCATGTAAGTTTGCGTAGTTTTAAAACAAACATTTATTTTTCATATAGCACCAGTACAGTTAATGAGAAACCTGTACTTGTGTGCTTGTTTGTTCTGTCTAAAATGTTTATTTTGGAATAAAGAGGTTAATATAAAAAAAATATTTTGTGTCCGATTCATCGATTAATCGAAAAAATAATCGGCCGATTCATCGATTTTCAAAATAATCGTTAGTTGCAGCCCTAGTAAATACACTTGATTTAAGAAATTTTTACTTAAATTCAGATCGTTTTTGCAGTGTAAGAAATATTGAATATTGCTTTAGACCAAGAAAAGGATATTTCTAACAAAAATATCATATATATGATGCTCTATTTCTTGAGATGTACCTATAGTATCTAAAATAGTATGAAATCTGGAAATAAAGCGAAACAAACTATTTTTGTTGCCAAAAAAAAAAAAAAAACACGTTACCACCACTATGAACAAACCTGAAGGTCATTTATACTCATAGAGCATTTGGAGTTGGTAGATTTGTATGCGTCTGTTGATGCGTCTCTATGCAAAAACTTCAATAAAACTGTTTTGAGTTTGTCTGGCTTTGCTGTCATGACTGAGTTTAGTCCCACCAATCAAGTCATCTGCATGAGGACTGTTCATGTGAACACAAACACCGAACCTCACACAGTGCTGGATAATCAACAATCACATGAACAAGATCAAGGTCAATAATAAAAAAAAAAAAAATTCCCAAGAAATAACTGTAGATTTCTCATATTGGTTAAATAAAAAAAAAAAAAAAAAAAAAAGCTTTGGTGAAATCAAGATTAAGTCCCTCTTGATGGAGCTTCAGCTTTTTCCAACAAACTCCGTCACTGTGTGAGGCCAGAAGGAAACAAAATGTGACAGTATGAAAAGATGTTTCTGTGAAATCTTACTCCGTGTTTCCTGTGGCTTGGCCCCACCCACCACGGTGTGGCCCCTGCCTCTCCACGTGACAACTCTTGCGTCCGGCCTCGCAGGCCCCTCAGGTCAGATGAACGGCATCCAGACTTTTCTGCACGTCTCCAGCAGCAACACTTTAATTTAACCTCACTCTCTGATTTACTGTGATGGAAACATTTCCTCTAAAAAATCTCTGAGGCTTCTTTTATTTCTTCCTTCTGACTCCTTTCTTTCACCTTTCATGCACCCTGATGATATGATAATCCACGTTTAACAAGTAAGCACGTTTAGAAAAAATGAAAATAAAGATGCATATATGTAGGGTTTGGCACTGGATCACTAATACGTGTTATTAAATTAAAAAAAGGAAGCACTGAATTATTGATCACAATCACTCACACTCAATCTAACACACTCAAGAATTTACTGAATTTTTGTATGTTCTCTACTTAAATGTATTTTCTGTATGAATAAAAATAGGTTAGGCATTTGCTACTTTTAAAGTTTAAATTTTTTGTTTAAATAGACCAATTAACTGTTTGTAAATAAGTATGGCAGCAGAAGTATGTCGTCCTGTGAAGGTTTGTCATGCTACACATACAAGTAAGCCACAATAAATCACAAAATTTTATTCAAATTTCTTACCTTGATGCGGTGCATCTGTTCGCATTTGGTTGGAATGGGAATTTTCTTTTTTTTCTTTATGTTTATGTCACTTTACCACAAGGCATTGCAGGATGTTGGGCGATTTACTTCAGTTCTTAAGAAGCTGCGCTGATTCTCATCTCTACTGCCAGTAGATGGCGCACATGTCTGTTTATGTCTTGGGGATGTAAATCTATTTAAACTTAACCCTCCTATCGTCCTCAAATATAGTAACAAATTTGGTCTTTGGGGTCAATTTGACCCCAGGGATATTTACCTCCAGAAAATGATTTACAGAATATTGTTGACCAAGTTTTTGTGACAGGCACTTTGTTTATTTGTTGAATACATAAATAATCCCTTGAAAATCAGTGAGTTGACCTTCCCTCTAGCGCCACCATCAGGCCAAACCTTTAAATGAAAATTTGTTTATTTTGATTTTTTTATACAAATCTTCTCAAATTTACAGGTTTTGAGCACATTCATGACTCTGAGCACATTCATGACTCTTACCAAATGAACCATATTGATTAATGTTGGTGACTCCCCCTTTCCTCTCATAAACATATTTATTTAGTTATTTTTATCTATTTTGTTGTAATATATCGGTGCTAGTTACTGTAGGATCTTACTCACCCCTCCTCTTTTGTTATCCGGGCTTGGGACCGGCAGTGGCAGAGTTATAGAGTTTTTTTGTTTGTTTTTGTTTTTTTATGATTTATTTATTTTTTTATTCATTTGTGTGACAGAAAATGGATAATGAGAACATGTCACGTAGTAGTTAGAACATGGAACAGTTTGTAGAGAGAAACAACATGGTGGTTGGAAATATTGCCCTTCCAGTCTCAGCATTCCAAAGACTTGCTGTTGCTTCACCTTTTGACTTATAAACTCCTGCCAAAATTAGCAAGCCAATGTAGACTTCCAAGTCAACTAGATCCAAGTCTTTCCAACTGTCCCCATAAACACGCTTTCCCTCTAAATTTGTCATCCCAAGCACAATATTTTTGATTGATGGTGTTATGCAGAGCTCGAATGATGACGTCATCAACATGGCTGACTGCATATCTGGTGGGTCCTGGAACCATTTTGATTATATTACTTGCGCTATGTCTACCCTGCTGTTTCAGTGGGGAAAGGGACCATATTATTTTTCCATTTTTGGAAGAAATTGTGTCTGCTGGTGGTTGAGGGACAACAGGAGGGTCAACACTCTCATTCTCATCAGATGAGAATTCCTCAAAATCAGGGTCCTCCTCAACACAATCCTCAGTCTCAGAGACAGTCTCCTCTAAGTCACTTTCACTGTCAAAGAGCTGCTCCAAAACCTCTTTGACAGTAAACCTTTTTCCAGAAGACATTTTCAAAAAGAGAGTGTGCAGATTGCAGTATACTCAGAGCACAGTGAGGAATGATTTGGATAGAGGACTGTAGTGCAAGCTTATGTTTGCTCCTCCCTGATTTGGCATGAACTACCAATGGCGTAGGAATAACCCACCCTTCACAAGGCGGGAAAAATCTGTTCTACTTTGGCAGGTTTGAGTTCAGAAGGTCACACAGATCCCCAGATGTCTCAGTTCAAATGTATCAACTAAAATGTATCAACTCTGCACCTGCAGGTGTTGTCATGTTAGGTCACTGACAAGTTTTAGCAGCTAAAACAGCTTGGGGTCAAATTGACCCCAGAGGACAACCAATGCGTGTAATATGTATTCAGCACATTAAAAAAATAACATCACAAAAATTTTATGCTTTACCAGTTGTCCCCATCTAATTAGGAAAAGTCATGAAATATGAAGCAAAAAAAAAAAAGTTAACTAATATTTTTTGAATGATAAACATTGAATGGGGTCAAATTGACCCCAAGGACGACAGGAGGGTTAAAAAGGATTATCTTAATACTATCAGGATGGACGTGTAGTGTATATCACCTTGCTTTACAATAATTAAAAGTTTTTTTATCCTTTTTGTGAAGGCATATGCACCTTTAAGCTAGTGGTTAACATGCTACCTTTAAACATGTAGGGGGTTTTGACTCAGTGCTGTTTGTAGGCACAGCATACCATGTAGAAAAGTGTTTTTTCTCTGTTGTATCGATCGACACAGTTACAATATAAAAACAATGAAGAAGACAATAGTCAACATGGAAATTGAAACATATTGGCTTCAGTGATTATGCCTCTCTACCTTTTACTTGTCAAGTTCCAGGAAAGCACCATGTTTATATGGTCTTTCTTGCATTGCATCTACATTTTGTACTGAGTAGCATGTTAAAGCCAATGTGTATTAAATATGTAAATGGAAGAGGGGATAACAAGCTTAAAATGCTTTCCCTACAATTCTATTAGACAAGTATTTGCTTTATGAATAAGGCACAAACATAAGCTTTAGTTTATCAGCCACATGGTAGTATTTTGAACTAATTTCAGTCATGGCCTGATAGCCTGAAGCCACAGCCACCTAAAGTGGCTCTGAAACCCTCGGTAGCTCCTTGGTATTCAATAGAGCTTAAGCCAACTTGGAGATTTATACAAACATTAAGTGCAGCAACTTGACATTTTTATGGTTTTTGTTTAGTAATAGATGCTTTAACCAAACTATCCAATGGGATACTTCTGCTGCCATGCTGATCACGCAACTTCTGAGTGAAACTGCTGTGTAAATGGATTTATAGAGTTCCAGAACCTAGACTTTATCTGAACCCTCAGTCTTAGGCTAACTGAAAGTCCACAAACCACAATAGATTTAAAAAAGGCATAAAATACAACTAATACAATTAGCTGCAGCTTTAATATGATATATTATTTATTACTGTATTTAATTTCCTATTTTTGATTAGGATTAAATGGTCTATTTCAGAAACAAGCAGTATAGCAGAAAATATTTGGAGACACTAACGGGTGCTTTATTAGTAATACAATATGATAATGTACCCAGAAAGGCAAAAAAAAATTTTTTTTTTTCATTTGCTTAATAAAGATTAAACACAATGTTTACCAACCATATTTATCGACCCTTAAAGGAAAAAGGACAGCAAAAACATTATTAAATTACACAGCAATTTGATTGATAATGGTGAAAATTCTCATAAATATGCTCATAGGCAATACGTCCAAACAGGACTATATAATCAAATAGAATGAAGTATTATACTAAGATAAACAAACAAAATAAATCATGTTAGGGAACACTTCTACAATGATTTGGCTTCAGAATTTGTTTAACATAACACTTAAGAACTAAGATACTTAAATGGATAAACTCTGGTTGTTTAAATTGCCTGCAGTTAAAAAATGGAATAATGTATAAATTGAATGTCAATCCATGGATAAAAAGAGTTTGTTGATGGGCTGCTGATGCTTATTTTGAGGTAAAAAGTGAAATAATATTTTATCATTTTAAAACTTCAGAAAAACCAAAAGGAGTCAAATTTCTCTGTTGGAACTTGAAATATTTGAAAAAGTACAAGTGGAGCAAGACAATAATATACTAAATATATAGCAATTAAACTTCAGTTACAGTATTAAAAGATTAATTTAGGGTTTGATCACCTCATTGGTTAGACATAAATATTTCTTTAATTGTTAACCAAATGCATATTATACTCACTGTTTAATTAACAACACATAAAGTAAGTAAGGTTATATGGAATGTGGCAAAAATATATATTGTAAATACTGAATTAATTGATACTTAAAAAATAGTAAAAAGTGATTATTGTAAGTAAAGGACAAACATCAAGATAAACTTTGATCTAGACATAGATTTAAAGAAATATATCAATGTTAGGATTTGATTAGCACCCCCTGTATGTTCTGGTTTTTGTTTCCTCTGTCTAAACCTCTTCTTCTTCCTTTTTTGCCCTGCAACATCATCCTTGTGCCGTTTTACCTGGGAATTCTGGGAATCCTAGGTCCTCCAGGTTAGACTCAATGGTTTATGATCAAACAGGGTGAAACAGTAATGGATGTAGAGGTGTCGTCACCTTGGAAACCATGGATGGATGGATGGATGGATGGATGGATGGATGGATGGATGGATGGATGGATGGATGGATGGATGGATGGATTGGATGGATGGATGGATGGATGGATGGATGTTTTTTTTTCTACAGGACCACATGGACGTCTCAAGCAGGACTAATAAAACACATAAACTCCCTCTTCCTTCGTTGACATAACTTTTGTGTTTTTTATCTTTATAATAAAAGCAACATATTACTGATTTGACAGTAAGGTTTCTTAATAGGATATGACTCTGTGCTATTTATATGCACAGCATATGGTGAGAAATTTGTTTTTTTCATCTGTTGTAACGATCGCCATGGTTACAATATACAAACAATGAAGAAGACAAGGGTGAAAATAAATATTAAACTCATTCACTTTGGTGATAATGTCTCTCTACCTTTTATGTTTCAAGTTCCAGGGAATGGAAAGCACAATATTTACATTGTCTTTCTTTGCACTGCATTTACCTTTTCTAGTGAGTTAGTAATTTAATGCCAACGCGTATCAATTATTTAAATGGAGGAGGAGAGATCTAGAGTTACCTCACAGCTTCTGCTACTGCAGCTAGAAACCACTGATTAGTGCTGAAATCTTGGCGCCATGATTGACTCAGACCTGAACGTTCAGAGGCACATAAAGGCAGTTACTAAGTCAGCCTTTTATCACCGGAAAAACATTTCTGGATTAAAGGACTAATGTCCAAGAAGGATCTAGAAAAACTCCTTCTTGCATGTATCTTTAGTAGAATTGATTACTGCAACAGTGTCTGCATATGTATGTCTAAAGTCCATCAGAAAGCTGCAACTGATCCAAAACGCTGCTGCCCATGTTTTCACTAGAACTAACAAGTAGATCACATCAGCCCGGTTCTGAAGCCCTTCCATTGGCTCCCTGTAGCTCAGAGAATAGACCTTAAAATCTTTCTGTTAGTCTATAAATCACTGAATGGGTCAGCACCTCAATACATAACAGATTTTTTGTCTGTGTATTAACCTCCCATACCACTCAGGTATTCTAGTTCCAGCCTACTCTGTCCACCCAGAACTAGAACCAAACATGGAGAAGCAGCATTTAGTTCCTATGCTCCACTGATCTTGAACAAACTCCCAGAAGACTGTAAAAGTGCTGAAAGCCTGAGTTCTTTTAAGTCAAGGTTAAAAATTCATTTCTTTTAGAAATGCGTTTGACCATAGAAGTTAAACTGTTAACTGAGGAATTATTAGTTTAAGGTTGTGGGTCAAATGTCACATTTGTTATACTACCGGCTTTTATCTGTACTTGTTTTTATTCTGCTTTTATTTTCCTTCTATTTTAATGTTTAATCCATGTAAAGCACTTTGAATTGTCTCTGAACTAAACTCTGCTCTATGAATAAACTTGCCTTGCTACACATTAAAGTGACAGTAAGGCTGTCTGATAGATTTATATAGTTACAGAACAAAGTTCAGATAAAAATAATTGAACTGTATTGATCACACATTGGACAAATGTACCTCTGCATTTAACCCATCCCCTTGGGGAGCAGTGGGCTGCCATTGTGCAGCGCCCAGGGAGCAGTGTGGGGTTAAGGGTCTTTGCTCAGAGAGCCAGAGTGACAGTCTGTGGGAGTGGGATTTAAACTAAAAACCTCAGGATTCCAAGCTATATGCCCTAACCACTAGGCTCCACTCCTTATTTTGGTTAAGCTTGTTTATCTTCTTATTTATATACTAAATATTGATTTATGCAGAGTAATGGGTATTTTTGACATCAACACGTCGATTATACCAAAAGCTGCTATGTTAAACTGTAATTGTGCAGTAGCAGATCCCATTATTCTAATGTTTTACAAAATGGTGGTCGTGATCATTTTGTGATTGAAATGACTGTCTGATATCATATTGTGTTGTAAACATTACTACGAAACCTGACCTCTTATCCTGTGCATCTGTAGGTCCCCCTGGACCAGAGGGTCCCCGTGGGCTGCCAGGAAGTGGCGGTGGTAGGGGTGAGAAGGGTAACCCTGGAAATCCAGGTCAGCCAGGCCTTCCTGGTCAGAAAGGAGATATTGGTTTTCCAGGACCTCCGGTAAGATCCTGTACTATTTTAACAACTGGTAACAGAGTAAAAGATGGGTGAAAAAAATGCTGATTTTTTCTGTCTTAATATTGCTTTCCCTTTTTTTTTTAAATAAGGGTCCTGCTGGTGGCCCTGGGGGCCCGGGTATAAAGGGAGACCCAGGATTTCCAGGAACTCCCGGCTTCCCAGGTTAGTTCCCAGTAAAGGCTTTTTGGCCTCCTTCAGTTATGTCAGCTCTTAGCATACATTGTAAATAACAACAAAATGTTCCTTTCATCTCTGTCAGGACAAAAGGGAGACCCAGGACTACCTGGTCCAAGCGGACTTCCTGGAGATCCTGGTGCGGATGGATTTCCAGGTATGTGAAAAACACACTTTCAGCTCCAAAGAACAGAACCCAAAAAAATCTAAATATTAAAGCTAATGAGTTTTTTCATGGATTGTTTCCACACAGGTCCTCCTGGAGAGCCGGCTCCTAGGCAACCTGTTATAGTAGTGAAAGGAGACAGAGGACCTCCTGGTCCACGGGGAGGTCCAGGTCCACCAGGGTCCACTGGTCCCCCCGGACCCTCTGGATCCCCAGGTGGGTGAAACAGGGCTGTTTATCTTTGGCTTGATTTTTGTGTTGACATAGACACGGAGATTCAATTTATAAAGCTGTTTACTGTTTTGAGATTTGGCTTTCCAAACAAAAACACACAACTTTCTGCTAAAAATAGCTTTTGAAAAAGCATTAACTCACCTTGTTTTTGTCTGAAATTATGTTGTGAGAATCTGAAATGGCAAAAAGGATTATAAGTTAAATGCAATGCAATTGCATAGCACTAAATGAGGCTAAAATGTTTATTTTACAAGAAATACTATGCCTTTTTTATCATTTTAGGATGTCTTTTTTTTGTTTTGAAAATTACCATGAGAGTACTGATTTTTTTAAAGTAGAAGTGTATTTTTTTCCTTCTTCTAGGTCTACCAGGTCCACCTGGAGATCCTGGTACACCTGGTCCCCCAGGCTTCAACGGTCCACCGGGTGGGAAAGGAGACACTGGACCTGCAGGACGGCCTGGTAGGAAATGCAACTTACTGTCCAAATTTAAAAAGTTATATGTCTATTTTTAATTTGGATTTATTTTTACTCAATTGGTCACTATGTATATTTAATTACATATAATTTAATTTAATTTTATGCTATTTAAAAAAAAACTATTTAAAACCCAGCTTTCTCTTATCATTTAATGCATTTAACTGTGTTTATTATATTTAATCGTTTTCTCTTTCCCCAGGTCTAAAGGGCAACCCTGGTCCACCTGGTTCAGATGGACCACAGGGTCCGCCGGGTATTCCCGGGTCTGGCTCAGCAGCCCACGGCTTCCTCCTCACCAGACACAGCCAGACTGAATTTCCACCAAGCTGTCCTGATGGAACGAACCCCATCTATGATGGATATTCTCTGTTATACGTGCAGGGCAACGAGAGGGCGCACGGACAGGACCTCGGTATGCAGCAGCTTAATTTCAATCCCCTCATACCTTTTCTACAAACCTGCAACAGAAACAAACTCCTGATTTGATTTCGGTAACATAGGCACAGCCGGCAGCTGTCTGCGCAGATTCAGCCCCATGCCTTTCATGTTTTGCAACATCAACAACGTCTGCAACTTTGCTGCCCGTAACGACTACTCCTACTGGCTGTCCACTCCGGAACCCATGCCTATGTCCATGGAGGCTGTGACTGGAGAGAGCATCAAGCCTTTCATCAGCAGGTACAGATGGAAGGATGGGTGAAATAAAAGGACAGGATTTCTAGGTAGTAAATATCCTTCTGTGTGTATTTGTAGGTGTTCCGTGTGTGAAGCTCCAGCTATGGTGATTGCAGTCCACAGCCAGACCATCCAGGTTCCTTCTTGCCCTGCCAGTTGGAGTCTCCTGTGGATTGGATACTCCTTCATGATGGTAAGAAGACATACGGGGGCACAAAACACTTTTTAAATGCTTCCTTATGGCAGAAATCTTCTAGGTGATAAGATTAAATTAGCCCAATGTTTAACGTGTCTGTCTTTCAGCTTCAGCACCCATTTGGGAAACCACGCTAACTCTAATTCCAGTGCAAATGTGCAAAAAAACGGTGTTGATATTCCACTAAATTTCTGTTATTTAATAACAAACGACGATTAAAATTGCATTTAAATGTGTTTTTTCACTTAATAGCTGAAAAAAACAGCGTGAGATGTATCCAAATTTCAGCCACATATCTATTAGAAGCCATCATCCTCCAACTACTTCCGATCTTCTTCGTCTTTTTACGAGGCTGTAAGGTCCAGGTCATGATCACTTGCCCCATGTGATGCAAAAAAAGTGTTTCCATTGCAGTTTTGCGAAATGTAAGAATTTCTATCCTGTCACTACCCGATCCGTACCGTAAGCACGATCCGTAGTGTCAGCTCAGTTGCGCATGTGTAACCAGGTAGGCTATACATCCGGGTCGCCCTCAATTTTATTTTGTAAAGAACACTTAAATTACATTTTTCACTTCTTAAAAACACTTAGCATACTAAACTCTAATTTGTTAAAGGATAATGTATTTCCTGAGAAAATAAATGCCTTAAAATCCTTTCTGTTTTATCACTCATTCTGTGCCCAATTTGTACAGGAAATGTGATCCTATGCTACTTCTGGGAGCTAACTTTTGTGGTTTCAGATTTAAAAATAAATCTAGTGTTAGGCCCCGTCCACACGAAGTCAAAACGAACACGAAACGCTGATATTTTCCAAAACGTTTGCCGTAAAGACGGAGACGTAAAATAAATGTCACACGAATGCATGAAAACGCTGCAAAATGTATGCCAGGCCTGTAAGTGGCGCTGTGGTGTCAAAGCAAAAATAAGCCACGAAATGTTGGGGAATGCCCACTAATATTTATAAATGGTTGCCCTGCGGGTCCATTTTCGTGGTTAAGTGAAAGTCAGGTGCTGAACTATGTCGTCGATATTGCTCTGTTCTTCCTGGAGATATTCCAGAAGAAGAAGATTCTGTTGTAAGCCCGACAGCAGGGTGAGTAGCATTAGCAACGGCGCCATTGTTGTTGTGATACTGGTCGCGCATGCGTGTGTAGAGGCGACGCTATGACGCATGCGTGTAAAAAAAAATATGCGGTTAGGGCGTAAAGATGGAAACGCGAAAATGGCGTTTCGAAATCTTCCCACTCTGAAGGCTGAATAAAAAAAAGATTGTTTACAGACCCCCGAAATGCCGGCTTCGTGTGGATGAGAGGCTGGTTTGGTGAAAAATTTGTGCGTTTAGGCCAGGGTTCGTCTTCGTGTGGACGGGGTCTTAATCTTATGGAATATAGTGCGTAACCTTAAGAAAGAAATGACTAAAATGCAGATAAACATGGTTTAATCATATTTTGCCGGACTACTCTGGGTATGTCCGATGATGACAAAATGTAAAGAGAATGTAAAAAGCATCAAAATTGTTCCAGAAATGTGTATTACCTTTCTTTGGTGAGTAAAGGATAGAAATAAGTAATTTTAGTACCATAATTACAGTATTTATGGCGACCTGGATGTATATCTGGTTGTACATACGCAAATGAGCTGATGGTACGGATCTTGCTTCTGGGATGGAGCCAGTAATGACAGATACAAAAAAAAAAAAAAACACCTCATTGAAGCATAAAAAATTTTTAACAAAAAAATTTGATGTTTTTTTTTTTTCATTGAAATGTTTCCATTAAGAAAATTTATTTTTGTAATTGCAATTTTGCAATTTGATGGTTAATGGAAACGTAGCCAGTGACACCTGAAAGGGTGTAATCTGTAGGAATGTTCTCCCCACTCTGAACCTCAGTGGTATTGGTGGAATATATTTAAACTGGAGATCAGGTTTTATCCGGTGTTCAGTCAGCTCAGCATACCTCGTCAGGCCACCATATAGTAATATGCATCAAAAGACGTCTGATTTGCATACGCATTTGCAAACGCTTATGCTAGTTTGACACTATAAGCATCAGCTCAGCATACCCTGTCAGTCCAGCATACCCATAGTAATATGCATTACATTGAGTGTCCTCTGTCTCTGCTCTCCTTACAGCCAATCATGCTGTTTTATTTCCTGATTTAGTTAGGCTTTTGTCATAGTTTTGTGCATAAAACAACTAAAAAAGTCCTTCACTATTTCCATTACACGCATTAGCTTTAAAAAAAATAAATAATAAATAAACATTGGAAGTCAGTTTGACAATTATGTAATTAGAGAAGGATTTAACAAGAATGTTTGAGGATTTTATACAAATTAACTTAGAAATGTAATTTCTAACATTTTCATTTTTATATTTATATATGTACAACTGTCCATTCCCTGGAAAATTACATGATATAAGAAAAAAAAAGAAAATAGGTGGCAAGTTTATATAAAGTTAAACCCTTCTGTAAATACACTTTAAAATGAAGCTCTAGCGGAAGTTCAATTGAAGAAACTCTGACTTACCTCCATCCAATCAGAAGCTAATCCGTCTCCGAAGCGAGCCATTCAGCTTCGAACTACTCCACCACAAGCCCAATCAGCGTCCTGCTCTCACTTTATAAACGCTCCAAATCTTCATCCCAGCCGCTATCCTGCAATCGCAATGTCGGACTTCGATTCAGACGACAATTCACCCACCTCCATCCCCTTCCCCGCCATCGCAGCTGAATCGTCATCCATGACTCGACTTCACCTCAACCTCATCAGAGAGTATTAATCCCAGTTGTCACCATCCCCTGTCTCACCGCATTGGTCCGGCAGAAGACCACCATGTTGAGCCCGGTTCTGCCAGAGGTTTCTTCCCAAGGGGGAGTTTTTCCTCTCCACTGTCGCTTCATGCTTGCTCATCATGGACAGTTCCCGAGTCTCCGAGTGAAGCCTGGCGTCAGCTCCCTCAGTCTTCTAGTCCCACATTCTGCTCAGCAGATCACCTTGTCAACCAGCTCCGATTAAACCACCACCAGTTTCAGGCCCGGGGAACATCCCTATTCTCATTTATCTACTCATGCATGTTAAAGCATAATTCAGCATGAATGTTCCTGCCGAGGTCTGAGCGCCAAAGACTATACTTTCTATCAATAAATTCTTCTAATTATCTTTTTTTCTCTGTGTGAGTTTTTCAGATTGAACTACCTCAACACGCGAGTATGCCTTTATTCATGTACAAAGAAACAATTGAATTAATACTTTTTGGTGTTTTTTGAAGGGTATGTTTTATTAAATTCATACCCTTATTGAATATAAGTGTACCTAATGAGGTTTTGTGGACTGCAAGTTGCAGACCCCTAAAATAGCATATAAAAATGGTGATCCTATCTAAATACAGCTGAAGCTCATGATGCAACACCTTTAGTTTTAAGTCAATAAGGGAAATTTTAAAATAAATGGATGAATTGGTGCAATCAGTTACGTTTTACTTGCCAGCATTTTTGTTCATTAGTAATTGGTTTCATATTTCGTCTTTAGTTCAGAGGCCATAACAGGGATGATGACAAGTTAAATAAAATAAATAAAAAATACAACAGATTGGCTTCATTTCCAAAACCAAAAACATTAAAACATGAAAGATTTTTTATTACAGTTTAACATTTTTTATATATATATACAGTTAGTTGCATTAAAAAACTTCTGTATTGTTAATGTGGTGTGTGAATAAAATGTATCTCAATGTCCAGAACAGGAAAATATTTTATGTTTACAATATTTCCCCCTACTGGCTAATGCTTCAGTACTTTACTGTTTTTGTTATATTTACTTTTCCCTTCACATCAATGTTTTTTTTTTTTTTCAGAAACAATATTAGTAAAAGAATGCATTGCATAAAAAGATAATCTGAGAGACACCAATTAAAGCTTAGCAGCCTCTTTGAGGAAAAAACAAAGGAAATATATTTGATTCAAAAACAAAATGATTTTTGATCTTAGTTCTATTCAGTTCCTGCAGGATTCCCCTCAAAATATCTTCCAGCTCTCCAATGTTATTTTTTTCTAGGTTTTAATATGAACTCATCTAAAAGATAACTACCCTAATGGAGTCTATTTTGAAACAAGATCTTGCACCATCACTCGTCAATTGACCGTAGATATTTCAAAACTCCTTTATTGTTTGCATGTCTCAGATGAGTCTAAAACTCTGTTCATCTCCTTCCCAGCACACTAGCGCAGGCGCCGAGGGCTCCGGTCAGGCGCTGGCCTCCCCAGGCTCCTGCCTGGAGGAGTTCCGCAGCGCTCCCTTCATAGAGTGCCACGGTAGAGGCTCCTGTAACTACTTCAGCAACTCCTACAGCTTCTGGCTGGCTACTGTGGAGGTTTCAGAAATGTTCAGGTAGGTTTACATGAACCCCACATATTACAGGGGCTACAGAGACCCTCTATACTTGATTCCCTGGAAAAAATACAGAAAAGCTGCAAAGCTTAAAGAAAATGTCTTTTTCTTAGAAAATAAAGTATACTTTTGTGTGTTTTTATTACAAAGTGATATATTACTATAATTTGTGCTTATTCCTACAAAATACATAAACTTAAAGAATTTTTTTCTTTTATATTGCTATTTTCTGAATTGGTCAGAGTCCTAAAAAAAATAAAATTTTAGCAAATTTTTAATTTAAGATAAGGTAAGACAGACTTTAATGATCTCTCAGTCGAGAAATTCACTTGTCAGATCAGCTCAATAGTCAAAAGAAGGTGCCAAAAGGAGAAAAAGGTGCATGGGGTATATATACAGTGCATCCACATATATACAGCGGATCAAGATTTTACATTTTTAGAATCCAAAGCTTCCTTCAAAATAAGAAAGTTAACCAGATGTGTCTTTATCACACATTAGATAATAAGAATTGAACTTGATCTCATACTGGAGAAATTTAACCCTTCCCCTTGGGGAGCAGTGGGCTGCCATAGTGCGACGCCTGGGAAACAATCTGTGGTTAAGGGTTTTGCTAAGGACCCCAGGGTGCAGGCTGTGGGGTTTGAACCGGTTACTTGCAACCTTCTCAGAACACAAGCACTCTGCTCTAACCCACTAGGCCAACTCAACTAAATTTGGATTGGCTTCATTTTCTCTTTTTTTACAACTTCTCACATTTGTTCTCTTTCCCAAACCCCTCACAGGAAGCCCCAGTCAGAGACATTAAAAGCAGGTAACCTACATACACGCGTCAGCCGCTGTGTGGTTTGCATGAAGAGAACGTAATATCACGTGGCGGAGAGCAGAGCGGAGGACGCAAGAAACACAGCGAGACACGTTAGGAGGAACGACATGGGCTCCAGTCGCCATGGCAAGAAGGTGGCATTCCAATGGTGCATTGACTTTGTGGGGGGAAAAAAAAGAAAAGAAAAAAAAAAATCTAAAATTGAAACAATGGTGCTACTGTGCAACACAGCTTAGAGAAGAGTAAAAAAAAAAACTGACATAAATATCATTTCATTTAGTCTTTGTTTTTCTTAAGAAGTACCTCAAAATGAAAGCAGACAAATATTCGCTATATGGTACCATGATGGATGTATGACTACAAAAGTGCATTTTTTCACTCTTTTCTTCCCTCTTTAAGGACTCCTTTTATTTTTTAAAGAAAAAAAAAACACTAATGACATTTTGCTGCAAGAAAAAAATGTGTCACACTACATCTTTCCTTCTACTCTTTTTTATTTTGGCTTTATTTACATCAAGCAGGCAGTCTCCAATGGTTACAAAATCAGCACTTTGACTTTGGAATATCCAGGATGCGAGATGCACTGATGAGCTTTCCTTCACCGAGACCGGATGCATTTTGAAAAAAAAAATAAAAACATTTATTTCTTTCTCATCCTTCTGTCGTTTTACATCCAGTTTCATAGAACTAACCCTGCTGTATCCCACCTGCTAACCATCAACCTACACATTGCTCTTCCTTTTTATTTTTGTAAGTAATAAAATGTGTATATTGTGTAAAACACCTTTTTGTTTTGTTTTTTTAGCATATTAAGTCTAAAGCTGCACCAGCTGCTTGTTGTGACAGTTTTCCAGGTTGGTTTTTCTTTCTTTCTTTCTTTTTTTTTTTTTTTTAGCTCACACTCTTGCAGGCACTCACACATTTACTTTTATTGCTCACTCAGATATTGTACAAAGTAAGGCTTATATGAATGGAACAGTATTTTATATATAATAAATTTATATTTGAGAAAAAAAAGAGCATAACACTATTCTTTTTTTTGGCTGTGGGGAAATTTAAAACCTATTTTAACCTCAGAACAGCCAAAAACAAAGCACATGACTTAACAGACGGGCATTTCTCACTAAATATACCAGTTTCTTAGAATTTACACCAATTCCAATCACTCTTACCTTTTCTAAAGCGATTAGCAAAATTAATACATGCTGGTTTAATTCTATGGTGTTGTTAGGTAGTTTAATATTGCAAATTAATTGTGCAAAAAACATTTAGATCAAATTGTAAGAAGAGATTTAATGATGCTACATGTTCTATAATATTTCCAGGTGCTGGGCTTGTCTGTAACATAAAGAGCTCCAGAAATTTGGGTTCAACCAAAATGTTTTAACCCACTTAATGCTGGCTTGAATTTGAACCTTGAAACACAGGTTTGGGTGTCTGTACATTGAAATGCACCCATCTTATCAGGTGGGAACGCTGATGTGATGTAACTCGGCAAAAGCTGCTTTAAGCGGGGGGAGGTTAAGATTTTCCTGTGATTTTTTTTTTATTGTTGTTGGTTTTTTTCATTACTGCTTTTATGAATTCTAATATTGTCAACTTCGGGTTCGATTAAAGATGTGCATTTGTTTTTTTTTTTTTTTTTTGTTTCTGTTTTGTTATGTTACTCAGAAGTTGTTATAAACTTTTAAAACTGAAATAAATGCTATGTCTAAAGTTTTGTCTTCTAATTAAATTTCTACGTTTTTACAGATATAGCTGACATATTCCGGTAATACTCATTTTAGTCATGCCTAAAATCAAATTTAATTAAGAAAAATATATATAAAGTTTAATTATATTTATGTTATAGTGTTTGAGAAGATCATTGTGAAATAGAGCAAACGCAGATACATAATGTTTTTGATTTTTTTCTATTATTATGGCTTTATTTGGCCTGAAACAATTGGATTAATAGTGATTAATGAATAATTGAAATAATCATCAACTTATTTAATAATTGATTAATCTTTAAATGGTGTATAAAGAATGTAAAACATGCCTTTAGCTGACAGAGCAACCCACTTAGAGCAGTAATTATATCAAAATTGTAAAAAAATTTAAATAAAAAAAGAATGTAAAGATTTAGCATTTAAGATAAGAAAAAACTTTTTCGTCTGTCAATATGCTCTATCCAGAACCAGGAAAAAACAGAGACTTGCACCTAACTACAGTGAGAAAACCAATACATTGACTGGTGTAACTTTAGAAAAAGGCCAAAGCAGAACAATCTTGGATGTTCTCGTCTCTTACCAACAGATGAAAGGAACTATTAAAAATTAATTAATTATTAGTTTATTATTATTCATATAGATATTTAGTCCTACCAAGTACTTTTATAATAGAAGATGTCCCTTCATAGAGCTGCAAGAAAAGAAAAACGCAAACTCCTTATCTATAAAATTATCTGGATGCTCTGTTAAAGCACTCAAACTTTAGGTTACACATTCTCAGGAGATGATTTTCTTTGCCACTGTGACTAATTAGAGAATTTTGACTTTAGTTTTTACGTTTGATTTGGCAGAACTTCAAGAAATGCAAAATAAAAGAAAATATTATAGACACAGAAACAGATACAGAACAGATGTGAACTGCAAAATTTCAACAATTTGTCAGAAACAACTCTGAGCATTTGGGACCACTCACGCCATTCAAGGATGACGAGGTGTTTTACATCTTATGCTGTTTTCTCTTCCTCTGACAAACCAAGTCCTGCTAGATGCTTCACCTTTAAGAGGCGTTGACAAGACCAGAGCAGGTTGCTATTGGAAGGTGTAAGGTACTTCTTGTTAGGGTTTTTAAGTTTCCCCAACTTTAACCTATAAGAAATAAACATTGTAAGATTTTTCCTGATGGGGCTTTGCAAAGGGAAAATGCACAGAGCTTTGGGATCTCTTTGTGCACTTTCGTCTTGCTCCACGCTTGCAGGCTTTATTTATTGAGCAATCTGTTAGACATAGCATGAACTTTTAAGATAGGGAACATGTCTGGTTTCAGTATACGCTTTTACAAAAGGTGTCGGGGGTCATGAAATTTTAACTTCTGTGCTTCAACAATTAATGAAAAACAGGAACTTCTGTGCTTCATTCTCGCAAAACATTTGACCGTCTTATGACCTGCATACACTATTTCCACTGGTGACAGTACCATTGAAAAACAAATGATTTAAAAGCAATATAAAAGATATAAATGAATAAAATGATAAAAACAACAGAAATAATAAAACAACAGAAATCATAATAACTCCAACATCTCCCCCCTGTTTTACATTTTATTCATAAGAGGTAACACATCTTACTTCAGGATTTCCACCTCTTGCTTTTTGCATTTTCGGTGGGTCCGTCACTCTGTTACCCCTTTTATTTATTTATTTATTTATTTATTTATTTATTTATTTATTTATTTATTTATTTATTTATTTATTTATTTTTTAAAAGCTGTTTCTTGCTCCAGAGGTTCAGCATCACGTAGCAACTGGTATTGAAGCATAGCATTTCCTATAACTCTATCAACCATTGACTTAATGCATGGAAACACACACATGTGGTTAGCAATGTCCAGGAGTCCCACTGAGTACCCTGAGTATCACCACTCATGGCTCTCTGCAGATCGATAAGATTATTCATAGCATCTTCAATATGAGTTTCATTTTCACTAGATATGTAAGTACAACAGGCAGTTCCAATCAAAATACAAACACCACCTTGACTAGCCGTTAACATGTCCTAAACCATTCTATTTTGTAGTACCATCAGACGTATTTCACTTAAAACTTTATTTTGTCCTTTCTCGATATCCACTTTGATATTCACCAGAAATTTCAGTCTGTAGTCCATAGTCTCTATCTGAAGGGCATGTTTTCCCAAGCCGATGGATGGGATAGCTGAGTGCATGATCATATCACCTACTGTCCAGTATCGGAATTCAGCAGGAACATTGGACCCCCATATTGGATCATGGGGTTTGAAGTGTGATGACAGTCCAGCCTCCCTCTTTTTCCTGTGGTTTTGTTCTACATGCTGGATAGACAGGAACACGGTGTGGTCAGAAACAAACACTGGTGCACATGTACCTGACCAATTGTCTGGTAATGCTTTGTTGCCTCCACACAAGTACCAGCCTCCTTCCACAGGGTGAGGGGGCGTGTCATATTGGGGGAAAGAGGATTCAGCATTAGCAAACTTCACCCCCAAAGGATCAGAGTCATTGATTTTGCTGAGAAAGTTGGTGACTTTTCCGAGGTGCATGGATCCTTTTGTGCGGTTCTTAGAGACACAGAGAGGATGTTTCTCTTTCTTGTTGATGAAGCCCTTAAAAGGTGTCGGGTAGCCTGTGACATTGAACGAATTGTCTGGAAACACATATGTAGAATTGCAGCACTCCACACACCATAGTTCAGTCTGGTAGGAGGTTAAACTTGTTACAGCAGGATCAATATGTGTGCTGTTAATGCAATTCTTTCTAGGATTTAGGGCAAATGCGGCAACCCATAGGAAACAGTAGGCATCACTGTAAGGCATGGCTCTGCTGAACAGTTTAGGCTGTTGTGTCGATGTAGGCATAACAGAGCAAACATAGCAGTTAGTCTTATTCTGTTGTTCAGCCAGCATAGTCACATAGGCTTTCCACATATTGTCAGGATGATTTGAGGAAAGTTGGGTCATCCAGTGAGACGTCTTTGACCCACGTACCCATTTCCTGTTGCGTCTTAGAGTGGTGGTTTCGGACATCAGTAGTAGTAGACACGCTGCAGCCACAACACAGAAGAGGCTCCATCTCCATGAGTACTCCATTTTCTGGTCAGTTACAGTGACACCGGATTTACCCTAGGACACTACAGAACGGGGATCGTTGATTGCTTCACCAACATTGAGACGAGTGGCCCTAATTAACCAAACCCCTTGAAGTTGGTCTTCCCCATCGTTCCAACTAGGAATCCAGCACTTGCTGCTACTTACAGTGGCTGAGGTGTATCCAAGAGTCTCTTTCAGCGATCTTCACTGCCGTGGGGGTTGTAAGAAGAACTTGGTATGGACCCTCCCAACGTGGACTGGACCAGGTTTTCCGTTTAACAACTTTGATGAACACCCAGTCTCCTGGCTTAATGCTGAGTGGTTCCTATTGGGAGACAGAATCATTCGGCAGTAAACTTGCTTTTGACACTTCTTTTTCCTGCAATACCTTTCTCATATAGTCAGCTAAAGTTTCTTCTTCTTCTGCTTTATCTAGGTCTGCTTGGACTAGTGGGATTCTATAGGGTCTTCCATGAATGATTTCAAAAGGAGTCAACCCTGTTCCTGTAGGTGTGATTCTCATATACAGTTTATCTAAGTCTAAACATTCTGGCCAAGGCCTTCCTGTTTCTTCCATGCATTTCCTAAGTCTGCTCTTAAGTGTCCCATTCGTTCGTTCAATTAATCCTGCACTTTGTGGGTGATACGCACAATGATTTTTTAAATCTATTTTTAGATTGTCTGCTATAGTACTGATCACTTGGTTCACAAAATGTAGTCCATTGTCACTGTAGATGATCTCTGGGATGCCATGTTTAGGAATAATTGTTTTGCAAATCGCTTTTGCTACAGTTATGGCATCTGCTTTAGCTGATGGGAAGATTTCAACCCATTTTGAGAATGCATCAATCATAACTAAACAGTATTTGTATGGACCGCTTTGCGACAACTCAATAAAATCCATGTGCATCTTTTGAAATGGAAATTTGGGTGGAGGAAACTGTCCTCTTTTAGGTCTCATGTTGCCTTGTGGGTTATGTTTTATACATATGATACATGCTTTACAAAAACTCTTTGCATAAGAATGAAATCCATAGGTAGTAAAATGTTGTTGTATAACATTACACATCCCTGCTGTTGAAACATGGCAAGGCGCATGGCTCAAAATAGCTGCAGTTCTGAACAAACTTTTTGGCAAGACAGGTTTATCACAAACTTGGTAAATTCCACTGTCTGATTTAGTAGCTCCTTGTTTTATCCAATAATTTTGTTCTGCCATTGGGGCTTGCTCTTGTCTGCTCCTTAAACCTTCTGAATCCATGGGAGATTTATCATCCTCATCTTTTGACACATTTATATCAGACATACCAAAAACCCCTGATGCTGCCTGTTTAGCGGTTTCATCTTCAAGTCTGTTACCACAGGAAACCGCGTCCTTCCCTTTTTTGTGTGCTGCACATTTACATAAAGCTATGTTTTGTGGTAGTAATATAGCTTGGAGAAGCTGCTTCAGTAAACTGGCATGTGTTATTGTTTTGCCCATAGAAGTATTCATTCCTCTTCTTTCCCACTGTTTAGCAAAAAAGAAGATAGTAGAAAAGGCATACTGACTGTCTGTGTAGATGGTAACCTTTTGATCTTTAGCTAACGTACAAGCTCTAATCAGAGCAATAAGCTCAGCCGCCTGTGCTGAGTCAACAGACTGAATTTGCCTTGCTTCTATCACTTTACAAGGAGATTCAACAACAGCGTAACCAGTCAGGGTGTTACCCTTAGCATCTTTGAAACAGGACCCATCAACAAACCACACTTTTCCCTCAGTTAATGGGATATCTGAGATATCTGGTCTGGGTAACTGCAATTGTTCTGTTCTTTCCATACAGTTATGTGGTATTCCATCATGCTCAGTGGGTAAGAGTGTTGCAGGATTCA